AGGATCGTCGTGGAAAGGGCGGAGGTACGTAACGTCAATACATCCGCCTTCGAGGAGATTCGGACGACCACAGCTTCTCGGGGCGGCAGAGTTGATCCATGGCGGAAACGACGCGCCTTCACCTTCGCCGTCGCCGGAAGGCCGAAATCATCGAAAGGAGAACCTGTCCCGGCGGACAACACCTTCGACCTCCCTCTCGTCGTGCGACTCGTACACCGACTGCCGGCCATACTTCTGCTGGAAGAAGTTGTCGTTGCGGAGAAGTTTCTTCAGCCGGTCGAGCTCCGTCTGCTTGACGTGCATCTCGTTCTGCCTCTCCTTCCTCACGCGCTGCTTAGCTTCCCGCTCCTTCCGTTCGCGCAAGACGAGTGTCATGCGCTTCTCTGCACTAGGTTCCCACCTGCTCTTGAGGATCCTCCGCACGGCCTCTGGGCTGATCTTGAACTTGTCCGCGAGTATGGGCGTGGTGAACTTGTCCGGATCCATACGGTTGAGCTGGCGTAGGGCGTCCATGGCCTCGCGCGACAGCTTCCGGGGTGGCGACCAGCCTTCTGGAAACTCCTTCCGCAGCGCTTCACGGTGGGCTTTGTATTCGTGCGGCGTCGGTTTGTCGGGGGGTCGGCGGAGATGGACTGGAGCGGTATTTGGACGCGTTCCATTCACTGCCTCGTTGTCTTCTGAGAGATCGACGGGTGCTTCATCGTCCTCGAGGATGGATCTTGGCCTGGGAATGCCAGCAAGCTGCCATTTCTGAGTCGCCACCGAGAATGCAGATTGAGTATAGCGTCTAGTAGTGCCCTGTCGTCTGCAGAGATGTAGAGCGTCAAACGAGGAGAAACGAAGCAGAGAGGCCATAGTAGTGACGGACAGAAAGTGAAAAGTGGAAGTTCGACAATGTTGGCGTTCGCACGCTTGCGGCAAACGCCGAACGTTGAATACACCGTTTGGTTTAAGCAACAGTTATCATCGCCAGCGTTTATCATCCTCCTTACCCTTTTTCTTACCGTTGCCTTTTGTCTTCTTCGTCTTCAATTTAGATCGCAATGGCAGACGTTTCAGACCCTACAATCGCCGAAGGTCCGTCATTGGCGCACAGTTTCGAGTTCTATCGCGTGATAGCCAAATCTCGCCCTCACACTTTCTTCTTCCTCACAAACCATTGACCTATACAGCTTACTTCGAGGTCAGAAATGACAAGTCCGAATCAAACTGGCTACTGCTTGATTACGAGTCCGACCGATCTGACAAGCTGAAGCTCACCTCAACGGGCACTGGAGGCCTAGCTGAGCTCAGGGAAGCATTAGACGACTCCAAGGCATCGTATGCATACGCCCGAGTAAGCTACTCAAACGACAAGGAGTCGACGCGAGAGAAGTTTATTCTTGTGGTGCGCCTCCTGGATCTCTGTTTTGAAGTTGTACATCGCTTACCGGCGTGTTGGTTGGCACCCCTCTTTCTTGCAGGTGTGGATAGGACCAAATTGCAAAGTTATGAGGAAGGCCAAGGTGAATATCGTCTCCTAGCGACACGCCATCCGCCTCTCGCCCTCTTTCGCCGCCCGGTTCCTGCAAAGATCCTCCGTTCATAACTCACCTCCTTCCCTTCTCCAGATCTCCGTTCATTCTGCCGACGTCAAGAACGTTCTTCGAGTATACTCGATCGAAGTGGCCGCGCGCGAGAAAGACGACCTCAACGAGGATCCCATTGTTGTGCGGTTGCGGAAGGTACGCGGACACAGCGCTCAATCCAAACCGATCATTTCTGACATGGCCGATTCACTTTACCTCACCCCTCACCTTTCTGTCGTTTAGGCTGGGGGCGCAAGCTACGACGGCGTTTAATAGCAGACGTAACCGAAGAATTTGCAGTGTACATACTGTAACCCAATGGCAACGAAGTAATCTCTCTTTTCGCCGGAACAACCGACCCGCAAGAGATTCCGCGTTTCAATAAACGACTTCGGAAGCGTGATTTCGAGAGTTTAGACGTTCAATATTCAGTTCTCCGTTAAAATCTGATCTCTGCCCATTGAATTCTCCACGGATCTGTCTACAGGAATTGCTTAAGATTATCGATGCCCTCTTCTTCGAGCCTCATGCCCACCCACTCGGACATGGGCTTCGCGCCCAGGCGTTTCTCGTAGAAATCGATGGACGGCTGGTTCCACTACAGCGCCACACGACATTGGAAAGTTTACCGACACACCAACCAATACACTCACCTTAAGGACGGCCCAATCCAGTCTTGCGCAATTCTTAAAAGCAAGAGTTTAACAAATTTCCTCGGACATCTCCACAGGTGAGGGGTAGCGATTACCTTCTCCTGTGCGATCTTCCTCAAGTGACCGAATATGGCCTTGCCAATGCCGAGAGATCTGTGTTCGGGCGCGACGTACAAGTCCTCCAGCTGTTGCGATCAGGCATTAATGCCGGAGATAATCAAGATGTCCTGCTCACGTATAAACCAGGCCGGCCAGTCCAGGTCGAATAATTGAAGAAGAACAAAGCTAGGCCGACAGCGTTGCCAGGAGTCTCAACGGTCCCGGTAAACGCGAGGAGAGCATGGGCGAAAGGCGTTTCGAAGAGGTTCTTACGGAGCTACATGCTGCATTAGAACCGGGTGTCTCCAGGCTACATGAAATTGCACCTACAAGCTCTGGGGTGGCCTTCACCGACTCCGGTTCCTTTTCGTAGGTTGCCTGGGAAGTAGTTGGATTTACATCTATTCGCCGTCGGAGCCTCACCCACAAGGTCAATGATCAATTGCAGTATAGTGCCCTGCGCGACAGTAAATTGAGCAGTTGGCACAAACAGCTCGGGGTCCCCCTACCACATCGTCCGGGGTTGCCTCTCTAATGTAAAATCCAGGGGCCATTGCGCTAGATGACTCGAAAGGAGAGAAGTTTCGCCTCTGTCGGCATCTCGGAATCGGCGGTGTCAACTGAATTTGAATAGTGTTGTATGCGCCTATTTGTTTTGGAACCTTATTGCGCATTCGCATCCTCATCATCATCGACAACGGCCGTAACTGCTCGCACCGCCCAGAGGTCCTCCCGTCCACCAGCCTACACCCACCATGGACCCCGCAAAACTGGCAAAACTGCAGGCCGCTGCCGCTGCTAATAGGATTGGTGAGCACCCCTCCACTCTTGCTTGCCTGCGACCATCCCAATCTGCGCGCTCAAATTCACCCTGCTTGCGTCGTTTCGTGTCTTCCAGGTGGAAAGGGAACCGTGCGCCGAAAAATCGTGCGGAAAACTAAGCCCTCTGCGGCACAGGACGACAAAAAGCTCCAGGGCGCACTCAAGAAGCTGAACGTGCAGCCAATCGCTGGAGTCGAGGAGGTCAACATGTTCAGGGAGGACGGGAATGTGCTTCATTTCACGGCACCAAAAGGTGTGTACCGGATTTTGGACCGTGAAACGGCCGTGGAGCTGGGACGGAGACATGTCGCATGTCCCTTGGCTGACGCGTCCGGATGGAGAGAATGAAGTTTTGCTGATTCGTGGCCGTTTTTTGTGCGTTTAGTGCATGCCGCTGTATCAACGAACACCTTTGCCATCTACGGTGCCGGGCAACTGAAGGAGCTCACAGAGCTTGTGCCCGGCATTCTCAACCAACTCGGTCCTGACTCGTTGGCGTCGCTGCGTAAGCTCGCAGAGTCGTACCAGGCCATCCAACAAGGCCAGCAGAGGCCGGGTGTATCGGCGGAGGACGATGACGACGATGACGTCCCTGACCTCGTGGAGAACTTCGACGTTGAGGGCGACGCGAAGGCGCCTGCCCTTGATTAGATGGTGTGAACAGTTGCAGTGAGGCAGCAGTGAGAGGGAAGGGAGGGCTAGTTGGGGGGACGTGCGTTGTCAGTTTGCGGGTTGGGATCAAAAGGAGCGAGGCGACGGCAGGTTTATTCACCCTGAACTATATTCTTCCTCTTTCATCTTCTTCCGTGTTTTGTGTTTCGCGTTGTCTTGCTCCAAAAATCCTTTTTCCTTTCTCGCGCTTGTCCCCCTGCTGCTACTGATTGCGTCCTTCGAGTTGCATAGTCGCCTCTATATTCCTCATCTGCAAGCTCATCCCCACTTGTGTATCCGATCCTGTGTCTTTGCTATGTCATATCACGCTATCGCATGAAAAAATTCTTCCCGATCCTTTTCGTAGCGTCTTTTCGGAAGTGTATCTCATGGGACAAGCCAACGTGCCCATACTGCGGATGATGCAGATGTCTAGCCTTGACTTGCTATCACTTGTGAGTCTTTCGAAAGCGCTTCCGGCTCATGCCACTCACTTTCTTTGACAGATTTGCCCATCCTGCCCATTACCACTTGCTTCCAAGATTAGAACCTAGGCCCATGACATTTGTGGCTGTTTGAATCGCCGCTGTTCTCCCTCCTGATGCTGTTGTACCATATGCAGTTTTGCATCTGGAAGCTTGCTGTGGGGCGTTCGGGGGCACTAAGGCTTCTCATAACCATCTAAACGATTTTTTTCTTTCGGGAAAGAGACCGATAGCTCTCTAATCCCACCTCCAAATGGCCATGGCAGAGTGTATTAACCAAGGTCAACTTTTCTTGCGGCCTTTTGGGTGAGAGATTTTGATTTCTTCCGGGACTCACTATTCCCGACAGACTCAAGAATTTCCGGATTCTAAGGACTTCCGCCAACACCGCTTTCATGGTATGTCGGCTCTCGTCAACCAGCAGTGTAGACCCATCATACGAAATATACCTCGAACTATGGACAGGATGATGCTGGACCACAGGGTTGAACGACTTGCTGCTTGTGGTGGCTTATCGGGTCCCATCATCCTCACAGAAGCCCGACAGACATCCACCGCCGAACTTACCACGTCAAGGGTGCATACCTTTCATACACGGAATCCACATATGAACAAACCTAATTCTCGCGTGTCCCAACACTCCGGAAAACTCTCGTAAGTACCCAAGGCGTGTTTCGCGAGATCTCGGTGATAAGCGCACGATTGAGAGTTCCCGAGACTCGTGCTGCGACTTCGAGGTTCGCGCTTGTCGGCGGACCCGCTGCTTTGGATGGAATGTTCGAATCAGATGACTGCATGGAGGATGGGGTTCACGATGTGCGCTGCATACCGTCAAAAGCGTTCGGTGCTCGGTGGAGATTGGTAAGACCTTTCCCAAGTCTTGTCGGAATTACTCGTTCTATTCTAGCCTGTGGACGGCTGGAAGGTTTATCATGGAATCGCCGTGGAATATAGATTGTAATCAAAAGTTGCCCCTCGACGCGGGGCCGTTGACCCAAGTCATTAGGCATCAGAAAGGCAATGGAGATCGCCTTCTCTGCCACAAGTTCAAGCAACACCCTCGACCTCATGTACGAAGCCTTAATTTCGGTAAGCTGGTTACCTCTACTCTGCCTAGCATATCTAACTATGTTGGGCACTGCATTCCGCCGAGAAGACCGGTTGAACTTTGAACGCGAGATATTTCAGTTGGAGCACCTTACGAAGAAGAGAACGCAGACCGGTCCCGACTCGGACCTTTCTCCTCTCAATCACCAACTCAAAGAACTTCCGATGCGCGCCACAGGAAAAATCGAACCTCGCTCCACAGCATGGCTTCAATTTAGATACTGGACCAAACCGTGCGGGGATCTGCCCGCAAAAAATAGGTCTATCTATGGGCACGCGACGATGACGAGGTGCGATATAATGCCTCCTAATGTTCGCGCGACGTACGGCTATCCTAGTCGGGGATTTTGTTGGATGATGACATGGCGGTTAATGGCTTTGCCTCCTTTTTTTCTGGAATCTGCCCACACGTGGGTGCCCTTTCAATCACGATAACATAAATGCTCATCCGAAGTGGTGGCATTGACAGGAAAGACGAGGTCAGATTACACGCACAGAGGCAATCCCGTCTGACTTGGGGTATAGTCATCCTCAACTTGCGATTCCCTTCTTATCGTTATTCCGACTCCCCACTATCGAATCCAGTTGGGATTCGGTTCATTACGTGAAATTCTTCGTGTATCGCTTGGTTCTCCTTGCAAGTGATCATTCGAATAGGCCGGTTTCTGCTGGTAGAGGCTAGACCGGCTGGAGGAATCGCGGGTTGGCTAGGCGAATTATAAGAGGAGAACAAAGAAGATCGCGTTGTTTGGTACGACGCTGATAGTAGAACAATAATTGCCGTGCGTGTATTCTTCTTTTCACCGTTCTTCCCATTCTGTCGGATAAGTTTGCCTGAAGTGAGCCTTTACTTTCAAGCGCATATCCGCTGTTAAGTGAAATGCGCTGAAATACGCTGAAGTATAGCTTTACAAGCCGCGGAAAAGGGGACAAGTGCCCTGTGGGGAGGGCGTCTTGGCGCCACAAGTTCCCGATTTGGAATGATGATCGAGACCAAAATGGTATGGCTACGTCGTAGGATAACAAACCGAGCAAAAATTTCTCTCAATACCGACGATTCTAACCGCGAAACGTTGTCTGTCGCTCCAACCTTTCTGCCTATTGAGTATAATGATATTAGATCAAAATTGTGAGAGAAAGTGGGATTCTGGATACGTAGCATCAGTAGCCCGCACCCATTACTATAGCTAGGGACTATTACAAGTTACAAAAGGTAAGTTTCCTGGGACTGCTTTCTCAAGCAGTTCTGAAGGGGAACAGTTCGGCCTAACGGGCCTGCGCCATGATGGGTTCCCCTTCAAAGATTCCACGTTGGAATTCGAGTCTCCAGAGTTTATCTGCTTCGGATATCCTGTTTTCTCTATCAATGCTCAATAAATACGTGCGAAGACAAATCTACCGCCTTGTCTGGGCCATACTGAGACCAGTGACTGCTCCGGGCCGTCAACCGCCTCTCACTGATGCTTAATATTACAGTAACGCTTGAATGCATGGGATATTGTTGATTAGAGCCTACAGATATAACACCAACGGTCAGAGGTGTGAACTTCGTGGCCTTGATTGGACTTTACATGCTCCTGATCATCCAGGGGAGCATCTTGGGAGTATCCGTTCGAGCCCAGCCCTCATCTAGCTACGTCCATCTTCCTAATTACATACAGGACCATGATATTGATTCCAGCACCAAGTTTCCTCCAAAAAAAAATTGAGGCCTGGTCTGGATTCTTCACTCAGCGGGTCGCTAGCCGCTTCGCATGCTCGAAGTAGCATCAGAAGCATTTACCCTCCTGGCGGCGCGAACGATCTAGAACTTGGTTTCCTGCGATCTGACTTCGCCGTTCAACTACTAGTACTTGAAACTTCCATCGGGGAAGCTCTCCGTCAACAGGGCGCGACGAATGCTGCTTTCCGAAAACCTTCTTTAGAGCCATGGTAGGCTGTGCCATCAGCGTTTGAGCCACCCTTTGGCTTGGAAAGTGCCATGATCACCAGAACGATGATCCTCAGAGTGTCTTTGGTGCTCCTTGTCGTGGCGACAGTGCTATCAGATTTCTTCGACTGGTTAGACGGCCTCGATGAAGAGGTTTGGATGGCTATTATTGTTTTGTGAAAAATTCTAGTAGGACTGCTTGCAGAAACCCTTATTTCCCTCACCGCGTGGCAATTCCGCAACGATTCATGAAGGGTATTACATGGACTGCGTACTTACGTCATCTTTGAGGGTGGTACTTTATTTAAATTTACACTATAGAGTAGTTGAACGCGTGTGGGGTAATCGAAAAGTCGGTGAATTCATGTAGGTATAATTGTTTCATGGAGGTCTAGAATCGGCTCGTGGAATACAAAAAGCCTTACTTACATGAAGGACCTACACTGGCTGCGGTGCAAGCAGTGCACACGCCAATTGATGAAACAGCCCAGGCCCATCTAGACCGTACTCCACACGCAGGAGACTCGTTGTCGCCAGGACGTCAACTTCTCTGAAAACAACAACTCTGAGGAGGCCTAGGAGGGATTCAGTGGGTCCCGTATCCCAGATCTCCAAAGTTGCTGCAGGATGGTGTTCCAACCTGACGTGGGATACCTCCGGCGCACGATCGTCTTGACTGGGCTGGAATCGGCTCCCATCGCTGTCCTTGATGATCTTCCCCGAACAGGAGGCCGTCGAGTCGCAGGACACGCATTCCCCTGGAATCGCCACGTTGAGCGGAGGCGATTCAACGAATCATGTTATGAAGGAGGAACTTTTCTTCGTTCCTGTGAGGACCAAGATTTCTGTTTGGTTGCCTGCACGGAGTGCCGACCTAAAGGCAGTTGAAATGGCGTCTCAGTGGGAGGATTAGAAGTATCCAGGAACCCCGTGACGTAGAGGAGGATGTGTAGGCTAAAACCTTAGCGGGCTGCTCCGCGTTCCTGCCCACGTTTTTGTCGTCTTCCTCGTCATCCGAATCTCCGAGCGCTGGAGGGGAGAAAGACGTGGTGGATCCTGTGCATCTCCATCTTCATCTCAGGGAAGGTCGGGCCGAACCCGGGTGGCTTGAAGGAATCCAGCATGGACGTCTAGACCGAGAGTCTGTTCGGAAAGTGCTCGCATCCCTCGACAAATTAATCGAGGACAATATCTCACCATGTCTTCGGTGCGGCGTCGTTGCGTACCGCGTCAAGTTTGCTTCCTCGAGGAAGGGCGAAGAGGTCCAGAACGTTAGTCCATGTCAAAGAGCTCCACTTGCAGGGCTTTGAGACGCGAAGGCTACAGGTTATCAAGAGGATCGTCTCTGTTCTCCTCGTCGGCTGCCTCAGCTTCTGCGTCAAGAATGAGGGTCACAGAGGGATCTTCGAGGAGCAACATCTTCGCGTCACCTTGGGCAGATTCGCGCCTGTGGACCGGGCTACAGTGGAGCCTACTGTGCAGTCTAGAGTGGGTGATATTAGGCAAGGAGAATAGATGTAGGGCGAACAGATTTGCCGTTGTCGTTTCGAGGTGCCTCCGTGAGGGCAAAGAAGAACTGTTTGCACACCAGCTGCTGGCATAACGCAACTTTGCAGAGGGCGAGGAATGATGCACCCGATTCGCAGAGGGAGTTCTCGGCGACTGACATAGAACAAGGAGTTGATACCCGGTCCAAGAAAGCGCAACATACTGCTGAGGGGCTCCGACTTACACCGAAAATTAAGCTTGTTTTGGGGACACAGCAACCAGCACTCTCCATGAATGGGCGAGGTATCCATTGGTCGACGTCAGCTCGTCTCACAAGTCCCTATTTTGCCCTTGTGAAAGGGCTCTCGTTCCAGAGACAAGAATACAGAGGGCCCAGGCTAGTGCAACTGCTTCGCAGGCATGGTTCGACAGGCGTTGATCAAGGCAGGGCCAACTTCCACAGGTATGGAGATAGAATCCTTTGAATGGGGAAGAACATGGGCACATCGTGAAAGGGGATAAGGTATCCTGCACCTGGTTCCAGCTGGACGATCCTTTTCTCGAAACCTTCAAGCATGGGACCACAGTTGGGCCACTGTTTCGGTTATCAGCAACAGGTCCAAAGCTACGCTTCGTGGAACATACGTACGTAAAATCCCATGGCGAAGTATCAGAAATCTGACGGAGGGCCCGAGGGAGAATCGCCAGCTATGATGGCGGTCATCGGTCAACCGATTTTGATGACAACGACGCGTCAGACTTCAGTCACACCAAACGCGAAAGTCACGGTAGCACGTGAATATGGCTTAAGCGCCCACCTCTGTGACTGAACGTTGGCAGAGAGGCTTTTGCCACGGAGACCATATCGACTCCGCTACGGCCACCATTCGCACACCGCTTGGTCTCTCTCCGCACCGCAGCAGTGGATTGTTTTATACGGGCTTGGTCTTCCTCTTCAGGACGAGATTGTCACGAGGAAACATGAAGGCCCAAGGGATAACTATATAATCGTCATATTGACAGCCTTCGAAATTCGATAACAATACCCACTCATCAAACTCACCTTACAACATGGTTTTGCGACCAGGAATGCGCTGACGTCTTTCCAACGCTCGACGAACAGAAGGCCGAGGCCCCATAGCGAAGGTTGATATCATAATCAATCAACATCGTACACCTCGCCATCCCGTCGCTCGCCTTTTCAATCACCCTCCTCGTATTGTCAATCATCGCCCACCCCGACGACTTGAAGTGGGCTCAAGTCCCCCCTCCCCTACACTATCCACTGGAGCCACACAGCCTCCATCATCTGCTTCGTAGTCCCCCCACTGTCCATCCTCTATGCCATATCCCTTGTATATGCCTCAACCGTCCCATCTTTCCTAAACATGATGTCGAGCCTCATCTTCGATTGCTTCAATTTCGCGTTCTTCAGCATCGTGTCCGTTCTTTGGCTGCTTAAGGTCCGTGCGAACTCCAAGCGCGTGAGCGATGACACCTACTGGTCATTTGGTGTCAGCAGCGACTGCGGCCTTGCGACTATAAACACCACAAGGCCTCGCACGGATCAATTCCACCTGAATATGATGATTCTCGCCAGCGTCTAGATGACTCTGACGGCCGATGTTACTGCTAAGTTCGTCAAGTATATTTGGGTGCCACCTCGCCATCTCTATTAGATTGTAGTACGAAATGAGGTACGCTGAATCTTGCTGTCTGTACGTGTAGCCACTGGACCAGTCTCTCGCCAGGGAGAAATACCGGCATTCAAACCCCCATCATTTTCGATGAGTTAATTCGATCATCCTCAATTGTCGAGAGTGTGTAAGAAAGAAATAAACATATCCCAGTGGCACTTTCCCTTCGTTTCCAGAGCGTAGCCAATGAACGCCTGATTGCTTATGAAATAACAATACTACAGAAATAAAATATCACCAGCTTCGTGTATTAAGCAAAACAGCAATGCAGCCGTTTATGATAAAAAAAAGTTCAGCCTTTATCTTCAATGCCCACTCGAGCAGCTTTCGGCGACTGACTTTTAGTTAACTTGAATATCAATGTATACTGATCTGTAATAGTCGACGTTGTGCTGAGTAGACTCTTAGACGGCGAAACCTAGCAGTTTGTCTGGATTGCATAGTCGGAGATCCCAGCAGGAAATGGGATTATTCTCCCTTTGCTGCAATAGAGTGCCGTCCGAGTTGATGTGTATCGAGTTTTATTTCCTTAGAAGGAGCGAAGGGGGCATACCCGCCAGTTGCATATGGTCAGCGTGGAAGACCCTTGGGTCTTCTTCTTCCTCATCTCGGATGGAAAAGTTCTAAGGTCAGTGGAAATCTCCATTTTCGTGAGAGCTGAGGAGAATGTCTTGCGCAGATACATTACGAGGCCGCCACCTCAGAACCCTTCTGAATTCCGCTTGAAAACCTGCGAAGTATGAACGATGCGATGGTGGTTCACGCTTCGTTCAAGAAGCACCCGTCTTTGAGAACGAGTTAACCCTCGATAATCAATGCATCGTCGCTTGCTGCATGTCGTATTATTTAAGAATCTTGACCATTCTAGGAGTGCCAAGAGTGTTGAATCGTTGCTGTTGGTTGAACACTGTGTGCACTAAGCAGAAGCGGTGGGATGAAACCTCTTGCCAATTGAGTAGCCGATGACCGATTTCAAGCTTCGGTCTTGGGTGATTCATCAGGAATTCGGATGTATCTCCTTTTCGGGGATTCCCATTGCGCCAGACCACGGCGACCAACCAGTTGAGGAGTGATTCTGAGGGACAATTGGAGGGAAATAATGTCTTGTACATCAGGACATTTCGAAAGCTTTTGTAGTTATTCATCTCACCGAAAAGCTCTACCCACAGTGAACAGCCGGATAGTACGGAAGTAGTTGCGATTCTGGCCGAATGGGGTTCGTTTGTTTGAAATCTTCACGTTTCCGCGGCCAGCTTGATGGATTCGAGCTTGATGGATTGACGTCTAGGTCACATCGCCGAGGAATATAAAGAACATAGGTGTTGTACCACTTCCCACATCGGCTGCCCGTATTTCTTCTCCATTCTCAACATGTCCTCTGCCATCGAGACCGGAACATCGCGCCATCAAACCAGGACGATCGTCGATTCAGAGCGCCGAAGCTCGTGCCCAAGACCGTCGTCCTTCTCGCCTGCCTAGCCATTGCGCTCGCAATCGCACTGCTCGTCCTGTGGATCATCGCACAAAGTCAGGACGAAAGGAGGTTCGGAGCTGGACCAATAAGCCTTACCGTCTCCGTTATGAGATACGTCGCCGCACCGCTCAACTTCCTCTACCTCATCACCACCGTCGTGGCCGGATTCTTCCTTTCGCGCGTCCCCATCCGCGCTCATTTTTCACTTCCGGTTTGACTGCACTCTGGGTGGTCATCGTGAATTCCGAACATGTGGAGAACAAAGCCGTGCACCATATGCGCCGACTCGGGATGTAACATTTTCTACTTCCCCGACATCGACCAGTTTCGCCTGAAGATCACGGCCCTCGCGTCCGTCCTGATGACTTTAATGGCCACCATTGCGCTTGTTCATCAAGAATACCTGGAAGTCGGGGCGGCACGGCTGGGAACCCATCATGGAGTAGGGTGCAATCGTCTTGCGAAAAGGTAAGTCGTTTTCAGGGTCCTGTTCTCGGTGCTTACGAAATCTCGTACCAGAACATCCTTTTTCTTCGTTTTCTAATTCAATTTCTTGATGAAATTCCCCTTCCTCTTTACCTCGGAACTGATCCGAAGAAGCAGCGCTCAGTCTTTGAATACGTATCTACTGAATGAACGACGTACGACCATGTAACGACCAATGATCACACCTTGCCGCTTTGTGTTCAGTGCGACTTCAACCGATCATGACGGGGAAGATGGGCGTTTAGATAAGATTACGGGTGGTTATCTCGATGATCCATGATCAGATTCCTTTGCTGATCATCGATCAGGCCCATGGTCTTCCCTTCGTCTTTCCCGTCTTTCCTCCTCTCCCCCAGATGCCGTTCCCCGCCTCAACGATTCATTCAACGCGACGCGTGTGTCAATACGAGTGCCATGTCATTCGCAGTCGTTTCATCACGGGGGCTGAGTCAAGTGCCAAAAGAACTATGATATGTCGGAGGAATCCCAAGGTATGAACTCTGTTCTCTCCACTCAAACCATATCGATATTCATTCCTTTCTCGCCTTTTTCGACTTTCTCTTCGGTGACTCGGGTTCCGACTCTTCCATCTCCGACTCCTCGTTTTCCGACTCCTCCAGCTCGTCTCCCCTGGAATCGCCCTTGAACGTCTTCAGATGGCGCGTCATAACCCACTTGCGTGAAGTTCTCAATCCGACACCTTTGCGACAAGTGCACGGGCAACCAGACGTCTTGCACCAGAGCTGCGGTGCATAGTGGTGTGACTTGACATGGCGATTGATGCCCCCGCAGAGCTTTACAGTCTTCTTGCAGAAGTGACAGCACCATGCTTCACGCTTTCCCCAGACGCGGCAGCCGTAGTCCGGCGTCGTCCAAGTTGGTTCAGGATGCCTTGAACCGCCGTACGTCTTGAGGATCTCCGCATCCGACATGCGGATGTCCGTGGGCTGCCGCGGTTGCTTGCGCCCTGGTACATCTTGCGCTGTTGGTCCTTCAACTCCGGACTGTGGTGCGTCCTCTGCATGCTCTGACCCATCATTGTCGGCATCCCTCTTGCGCTTGACGCGGCTACTGGATGGGTGGCGCTGGGGCAGCTGCTCGGTTGCGAGTGCTGAACCGACCCTGTTCATATGGTCTTGTGTTTTATGTCGCTGGAGGGTTCCCCATGCGACTGGTGCAGATGCAATAGGCCCAGCACCGTAGCAATACGCTGCACCCGTGCTGGGCCCTGGTGCGGGAGACTCTGTGGCATCATTGTTCTCCACGTAGTCATCGTCATCCCCGTCCTCCTCAGTGTCGTTGCTTGCCTCTTCCTCGAGGTCTTCCTGGTCGTCAGCATTCACATACGTGTACAATTCTTCGTCGAGGGATCCAAATACTTCTCGGGGATTGGCACCAAGGTTTTGTTCATCATCCAGGAAGTCACCCGCCTCGAAGTTTGCCTCCCAGCCCGAGGCCTGCTCAATGGCGCGGCCTTTACCCTTATCCCCGCGTCGTGCACGACTATCTTCCTCGTCTGACGCGTCAATGTCTGGCTCATCGAGGTCGCCGTCGTCAGGAGCGCCAGAGCCGTCATAACTACGGAGAATGGTGGCAGACACAGAAGGTCCAGAGAAACTGTACAAGGAAGGACTGACGCGGGCCGACGGGCGAGTGGGATTGGGCGACGCCTCGGGACGCTGAGAGGCGGATCGAGGTGATCGAACGGCTGGAGGTCGTTGAACCGCTCGGCGTGAGGGAGGAGTCGTCGCAGAGTTCACCCTGAGGGACGGGACCGCACGACGGACGGAATAAATTGTCCTCGCGGTCGGCGGAACAGCGAACGGCGAGAGAGGGTCGTAGGCAGCGGACGGATGGCTTGAATGGACGCAATTAGTAGCCACTCGATTATTGGAGAAGGCCAGTGGCATACCTCTCATTCTCTTTGCCCTTCTCATTTTCCTCGTCGTCCTCCGGAATTTTGAAGTAGGTTTTCAGTATGCCATTCAAATCAAGGGATCCCAGGGGACTCTGAGGGTTGAATGCGCTTGCGCCAGAGGTGTCGCCTTCAAGCAGGTTCCATAAGGCCGTCCGAGGCTGTAGCGAAGCAGGACGGGGCGGGGTGGCAGGTGGCGACGCGTCGCAAGTGTCTTTTGTCTTATTGAGGACATCGAAAAGTGATTCCCAAACCATGTCGCAATGGTGGATGTAATGTTGTTGGTGCTGGGTGAAATTGGGAGGGATGTCTGATGAGCTCGACAGTCTGCGTTCGCGGGGATGCTTCAAGGTGTGGCAAAGGTTAAATTAAAGACCTCGCTATATTTATGCCTACGCAAAGCGCAAAGCCACATTCGCTCATCCGGGCCACAGCTTTGACCTCCTCATTGTTCAGAAAAACACGTTTAGGCTTCGGTACCGACGCATCAAATGAGTTTCGACTTTTTAAGTAGGAGACTGCATAGACAAATTTATCTTTCGGAGCGGGGTCCAGCACTCAGGGGTTGACGCGTCGCGACGCGACAAATAACACCACGTGATGCATAAAGGAGAGTTCGCACGGCACGACTAGGTTCTACTGATTATCAAGCCACTAAGTAAGCTTCCGATTGGAGGCGAACCAGTGAGCCACGGACTTTTCAATCTAAGATTCAGGTAAGCTCTTTGAATCCTCTGTGGACCTCATATCGAAGTAGTGATTGTTTCTCAGTATGCCCCATCTTAATTTCCATTGGTTTTCACGGAAAGCCCATGTGCAATACACTTCACAAGAAGACGGTCGTCTTCCCCCAGAGATAATCGACCTCATCATCGACCTCATCGCCTCTCAAGCATGTAAAAGACACGAATGGATAGAGACGCTGCGATACTGTACACAAACCTGCAGCTCGTTTCGGGCAAGCGCTATTCCGCTTTTCTTCAAGGATATCGAGCTGCGATTCACCCGTTCAGGTACGCAACGGCGTGTCGCGAGGCTCATAAAGGTCCTCGAGGGAAATCAGAGTCTTTTTCCACATTTATCCTCTTTCACTGTATCCTTTCACGTTGAGACGCCCCAAAATCATCTCGTACTCGCGGGTTGCGTCCCCCTACCTGGACCCGAATCCTTCTATTGCCACCAACTCCTCCTCTCTTCTCTAAGCACGACGAGACTAAGGACAAATCGGTTCTTACGACTACTCCATATGATTCGTTCTCAGTCCCGCATACAGACATTCATAATCGACGGCTACCTAAACTGGCAGAGTCACCTATTGTCAAAGCAGGAGAAAAGAGCCATGCTCGCCATCCGTTCAATGCCTTCCTTGAGAACACTACAGCTCTCAAATATTACATCCCTCGACCCGGAGATGTTGCTCGGTGACCAGAGGACGGAAGTCTCGAATAACCTGGAGAAGATCACACTTCGAGGACGAGTCACCTATGAACACATCTCACTGGCGAGACTTCGTCGGATGGGGATGGCGCCTGCGCCCTCGAAGATAACCTGTGCAGAGATATATGGCCATTCGTGCTGGTATCTCAACTTATTGCTGCGGCTTTTACATGAGTTTCCCTCGCCCCCAACATATTTTCCATGCCTCAAGTCCTTGAAGGTCAGCTACGACGAGCAGGAGGAAGACGTGATGTGGGATTTCATCAAGCGGTCAGCTAAGACCCTCGAGACCCTAGAATTTAGACATATGGGCGAATATAGTAAGTTCAATCTCCTTTCTCCGCAAAAGCTCTCCACTAAATGAACACGCATTTTGTGGAGACAAGTATGAGCACCCAGTCGTCACATATCACACTCCCGGAAAACCGGTGTTCAGCGATTGGACCATGCCGGTATACTACTACTACTACACTCGGTGTCTGAGCGACTTCGTCGCCTTGCGGAACCTGAAGTTCCGCACCGGCACGGGAAACTCACCTAGGCCGCGCGAGATTATTGATCTTATCTTGAACGTTCTCGACTCTACCACCCCGGCTTGCGGGCTGCTGTCGCTGGAAGTCAACCTTGATGTTATGTCTCTTCAGCCGGGGGTGACGAGCACCCTCGCTGATCCTGATGTCGAAAGTTGCTGGAAAAGGTTAGAACAGATGCTCCTGGGTCCACATTTCCCAAATCTGCGGTCAGTGAAGATCACAATTATGGTTGGCAGATTTTATCGCGAATTGACACGCCACCGGAACCGCTTCTCACCAGCTGTGTCGCTTGAGGACAACGGGGGCATTGCGGAACGCACCGTTCCATCTCTACTTGCCTGCCCCAGGATAGATACAAGTTTCATTGTGACCGTCCACAATCTATGTATATAATATAGACTGGCACGATGTCAATGAGTCCCGAGGGAGACTCTGCAACCACTCAAAATCGTGGCTCACGGTGCACAACGTGAGTTCACAGATTCTTGACGACCCAACCAGAGTGATTTCGTGCACACGCTAGGCGTGACGGACGAAATATAAGGACCTCTCTGATGAGAAGGGGTGTTGTCGATTGCACTAGATACTATGCGAACCAGCCCGACTACGGTGGCTTTCGCATCAAGCTTGCGGAGGAGCTAATTTCCGTTTTTGGGTATACCCACTGTGCGCCACCCCGATGAACTACGACCAGTCTCAGGTCGGTAGCTCTCTTGAAATTAGCTAGGTGCCAATTGAAAAAAATAGACCATGAGCTCAGCTCTCGGAAACACTGCGTAGTGAGGGTGGAAGGCCGGAAATCCCGTGCCATTCAGATTGTGCACGAGTCAGGGCATTAATCAACAACCGAACTTCTGGGTTTAACACCCATGGTGTTGACATAAATCAGAACTTGTTTCTAGGAAGCAGACTATAAGGGCTGAGTCAATGAATTAAACCAAAAAAAAATTCCGGGGTATCCTTCTATTCGAACAGAGGTTTCTTTAAGGCTGAAACTGGTTCGAATTCTTGCTAAAGTGGACATGCACTGCGATGAAAGACGGTCATGTAGGAAATCCAAGGGTTCACCCTTTGACACCAAAGAATTATATTTTGCGATGTCATTCAACAGATGCTGCTACTGAACTTTGAATGTGACTCAGTAAACCCGCAACCCCGTCAGCCCGTCATGAGGATCAAATCTTCCCTTTGAGAGGAACATATCGCACATCGAAGGATACTTAAGCTGGACGATCAACCCCTTCTCAAGATACCTCGAAAGGGAGGGGCGAATGTCATGAGCCATCTCCTGGCTAAAGACGACCCGGATCGATCTCAATGGTGTAAGCCCTATGGAAGAATGGGACAATTCCATTCTCTGTTGGATGAAATGAAGGGCATCGAGGTCTTGAATCCCTGGTGCATGCTGAAGATCCATTGTTTCCAACTGAGGAAGGTGGACAGGGCCTCCCGACTCTGGGATAAGTAATCTTAGGAATGCCTGGACTGCCTTGATTGGGAGATTCGAAAGCCGGACTACCTGACTGTTAGATATTCCGATGGGATGCTGGGACTGGGTGAACCTTTTCAACTTTGGCGCATATTCGAAGATCTTCCTCAAGTCGTCCAATTCGAGGAGACGCACGTCCGTACTCAACTCTTGGAGAAGGCCATTCGTACGAGGGAGAAGGGCAGTCAGAGGACAGCGGCGATGCTGCGATGACGGGAACCATAATGTGTGGTAGGAAATATAGCGTAGAGAGGGGACTTCGAAGCAGTCGAATAGGGTGGCGAGGTGGAAGGCTCTTGTGTCGCGGACTACGAGCCAATGGAGCGCAGGCAAACAGATTGGGCCGATTGGGCTGAAACCAGTCGGGACGTCGTGAGCCTGGAGCTCCAAATACACTAGGCGCCGACAGCTTGTGAGCATGATGTGCGTTCTTTGCAGCGTCATCAAAGACGCAATCGTCCCCGACTCCGTGAGTGCGATGTGCGTAAGCGTTGGCCAGTCTACAGACAATTCCATTCGATACGGAAAATTGACGAGACGAAATCTTCTGAGGTGCTTTGCGTTAAGGAGGCCGCTATTTTTCCACTGAAATGAATGTGTTCCGGTAGTGAACACCAATTTCACGCTACCAAGAACTGGTACGGCACTCGCGGAGATCAAGGCCATGTAACTGGAGATGGGTCCTGGCAGGATGGCCATGTCGAGGGAAACCCAACGGTGCGAGAATCGAATAATTTTGTCGAGATACATTTTGATGCGGTATTCATGCGAATTTTGGATAGCAGGAACTATGGATCTATTGCTTGACGGATAGAATGATATTGAGAGAGGGCATGTTCCTGAACGAGACAACCATTCTTCAACAGCATTGACATGTTTGCGTAGCTTCTCCAGGAATGCATTCCATATCTGCCCAAACGTGGAGTTGGTATCGACCGGGGTTGTAAGGGATTGAGGAAACGGTGCGGAAGGGAATGGAATATGGATGGATGACCAGAGACGCGGGGTGGCATAAGCGATTGACCTCCACCTGCTGCATACGCGACCCAGGACAAGTGGCGCCTGCTGGGTGCTCATCAAAGCGTTGTGCGTTGGGGGCAAGCAAAACAGAAAGATCTCTCGCACGATTTCGGTAGGTAGCTGACGGAAGGGGCTGAGAAGCATTCGGTGTGCTTGGATGATTTCATTAAGTTCGACCCGTTTCTTGAACAACGCTTGCAGAGCATGCTGCAACTTCGTTATGGTGGTATCGAGGGCTGCCAATTCTTGTCGCGGTTTGGTGAGATGCTCTTGAATCAGATCCCGTTCGTCATCTGTTGGAATCAGATTGGTGTACAAGAGATGGGAGAACGGAGAGTCTAATTTAGTCTTCTCTTGAAGTTTTGAGGTATGCTGCTGCATTGTGCCAATACGTTCATTCACAAAAAGAGGTAATTTGACTAAAATACAAGACGCACCGCTGTGGTCGACGTTATATCCGTCATGGGTCGGTTTTGCAAGGAGAGAGAGATGTGGGCTAGCAGTGGCAACTCGAACTTAGTAATATGTGACCGGGAGTAGTAGCAACCATTATCTTATCTTATCTTCTTCCCCATCAGGTATCCTTGGCCGTCCGGCCAGTTTGGCGTTCAACGTTCAACCACCACGTCCCTGCGCCTGGGTGTCTATGAAAGCGATTCACGAATCTTAATGACAACGTCTGCTATCTTCTAGGCTTCTTTTCCTCCCCGGAGAGCAGTACAAGCCACCCCTTTCAAAGAATCACATTCAAACCGCCATGGCCACCCTCCCTAGATCTGCTCGAAATCCTTCAGGGTCAAGTGCAATCGCACAACGTCCTGTGTCCGATTTTGACGCTGGAATAAACACGTCGGCGGCGTGGACGGAGCATCTCGAAGGCGGCACGACTCCTGCACCCTCGTTTTCAAAAGCACATTCCAAGAAGTTTCTTTCCGAATCCAACGTACCTCTGTCGTTGTCAGATGACGAAGTGGGTGACGATCCGGAAGAGATCACGCGCCCTGCTCGCGCGTTGTACAGCTTTGAAGGCAAGGCGGAGTTCAGAGAGCTGACAGTGGAGGCAGGAGACGAGCTCGAGGTCATCAAGGAAGACGTTGGAGAGGGCTGGAGCCTTGTCAGGGATTGCACTGGTGAGATTGGGCTTCTTCCCCAGAGGTATTACACGGTATGTTCTCATATTGATGATGATGAGTCTCTCATCTCAAGCGGAAACCCCATAGCTGACCCAAGATTTTACACCTTCGCCTGACCTCCAGCTAGATGTTGTGCCGCAGACGAAGAGGAGAGAAGCATCTAGCTCATCCATCACCCCGCGTGGTTCTCCACGATCATCCCAATCTCAAACATCGCTTCCACCCTTGATCCCGCAGAGTACAGGCGAATGGCTGCCCTACTTTCCGAGCTTCCGGCAAAGTCTCCTGGGGGGCAAATCCCTCAATCGATTCTCCAGTTTTGTGACCAGCGGAGCGGAGGCGTTCCTCCTGAAAGGCAGTCCCTCTCCGGAACCCTCTCCTGATCCAAAACCGACCGGACATGCTAGAGAGGACACTACAGCGTCCATGGCTGAAACAGCTGAAGAAGAACGCTTCAAACTCAGTCTGCTGGGTCTGGGAGAAGCTGACCGACATTTCATCGACTCAGGTCCTGCGGGGCCGTCCTGGCGTGCCAAGACACCTTCCTTTAGCGTCCTCGTCCACTCGCCCTCGAAAAGGACGTCTGGCCTTTCAGGCGCATACACGTTGTACAGCGTCACCTCGATCTTCCCTTCCTCGCCACCCTCTGCGACGACTGTGGACTGGGTTGAGGTTCCTGACCCAGACGATGTACACCCTCCGTCACCGACTGGTCCAAATGACGGCGAACAGACGACAAGAGTTACAGTGCAAAGACGTTTCTCGCATTTCGTGATGCTGCACACGGTGCTCTCGCGGCGACTACCCGGTATCGCATTGCCACCGCTGCCAGAGAAGCAGTATGCAGGGAGGTTCAGCCAGGACTTCGTGGAGGCACGGAGAGGGGACTTAGAGAGGTACCTAAACAAGGTTGTTCGGCATCCTGTTCTACGGTATGCAGAAGTCGTGACTTTCTTCCTTGGATGCGAGAGTGATAGCGTAAGCTCTGCTCTTATTTTGATCATAAAATCATTTTTATTCGTTGAATGGTATAGGAATGGAGCCGTCTTCTTCCCAAGCATCTCTCCGCACCAGCAGCTGGGCCAGCTTTCTACGCCAGGGTATACCATCCAGCGTTCAATGTCGACTTGGAAGATGCCGACGACGCCATCTATTCCTTCCAGACGCACGCTCGAGCTGTAGGCAAGGGCGTGCAAGGTCTTCGCAGTGTCTTTGGGCGTGTACGAGAAGCCAGAGTCGGTCAGTGCTCGTTCTTCCTGCTCGCTTCCTTACCACACTATATTCCGTTTGTGGTCTAGAGATGTCCAAAGCCGAACGGCTGCTTTCGTACTCCCTCCTCTCTCTCATCACGTCAAAGCCGTTGGCAGCGGCTCCAGCGACAGGTGCAACACCAGATGAAGAGGGCGACGCTTCTAGTCCACATGAGAAAGTTCGTGATAAGCAAAAGGGCTTAGTGAATAAGGATGGTGCATGGTGTTGGAGAGAAGGGTGCACTGGTGAGGATTCTAATTTTTCAGCTTTGAGGTGGGGCTGACGGTGTAGTTTCTAGAGTGCTTAAAGCTCTCGAAAGCGGTGCAGAAGACGTGCGAAACGTTACAGACTGTGGCGAACCTTTACGATAGCCACGCAAGTTTCTCCTTTGTCCTTTACAATACAAATATCTCATTCTGTTTTTTCTTCCAGGCTCGCCGTATGCAGTTAGCAACACACGAATCATTAAAGCTGATGGCACACCCTTCGTCCTTATATGAGGCAAGTTGTTGTTCGATTTGGCTTAGGACAACGGTCCTGAAAGCTTTTGTCAGAGCGTCATTACGACACACAAGTCGACTTTGACTCGATATCGTGAAGCCATAGGTAGCAACAACCCTGCTGGATTACCATATGTAGGCCCTTCGAGTTTTCCTTCGGGAGAATACGTTGTCTGAAGAGATTCGATATTGTAGGCTGATGGAGACGTCGCAGGCAGATGTGAAACGGTGTTAAACACGACTATGGCAGAGATGGACGCATATCACGGCCAGAAGGTGGCTGATCTTAAAACAGTCGCGGTAGACCATCTGGACGGCGAGATCGCCTTCTATCGACAGGTACTTCAACTACTTCCCAAACTTCTGCATCACCCTTGCTCACACTTTCTTCGAGATCCTGACCCGTCTCAAAGCTGCTCGAGCGACCTACGACGACCCCCAATACGCAGACCTCGGCCACTCGCCGCGTCTGCCCTCCATTTACGAGAAGGACCTTTCCTTCGACCCGTCCAACCCAGGGCACTCGGCCACGAATCCCAACTTGCACCCGCAGCCACTGCCTCAGCCATGCCCCCATGTGTACGATTCGGCGCCGATGCGTCCTGTTAGTGTTGCAATCCAGGAAGGGGTTGGGATGTTTCTTGGAGATGGGAGCGGGAAGAGCGGATTGTTTGGGAAGTTTTGGTGAGGGTATTGAGAAGGAGGAGAGCTTTGATTTATCTTCTGCACTTTTTGTGTTGACCAGGCCGCGTCTTCTAACCCTCATCAATTTAGACGGTAAGAGTACTCAGCACGAGGAGTTAAGATAAGATCTCTTCGTCGACTGGCAAAGGGCTCGCGCTCGACAGCCAAACTGACAAGGATGGTCGGCCGATGTGTGAGAAGACGCCGAAAACGCGTCGATCGAAAGGAATCACGAATGTTGTCGCTATCGATCACACGGATTATCCGCCGTCCTTTTCCCATTTGCAAATTGACGAGTTTTGCTCTCTCTCGAACCATCATGACCTCGTCCGCTAACCAGCAAAAGATCCTCGTGGCCGTGGTCGGTGTTGGACTCGTGGGATCCGAGTTCATTAATCAGCTTCTCTCAATCCCACCACAAGTGTCGCAGTTCAAACTTGTCTCCCTCACCTCTTCCTCAAAAACTCTTTTCGCTGGGAAAGAGAACCCCATCGCGCTTAATGCACCATGGAAGGCGAGGCTTGCTGAGTCGGCAGCAACGGCGGACTTGAAGGACCTCACCACGAAATTGACCCAGCTGGTGGCGGAGAAGGAACGCGTTGCGTTGGTCGACAACACCTCGTCGGAGGATGTGGCTGCTCTGTATCCTGTATGGCTGAAGGCTGGAATCAACGTCGTCACCCCGAACAAGAAGGCTTTCTCTGGAGATGCAGCGCTGTTTGAGAGTGTCTTGGCCGCCAGCCGGGAGAGTGGAGCCAAGTTCTTGAACGAGGCCACCGTTGGCGCTGGGCTGCCTGTCATCGCCCCGTTGAAGGAGCTGGTGGCTACAGGAGACAAAGTGTGTCTATTACCTTGGACGAGAAATGGGCATGAGCTGATTCATTCTAAAGATCATCAGGATAGAGGGTGTCTTTTCAGGAACCATGAGCTACATCTTCAACAACTTCTCCACCGGAAAGCCTGACGGACCCTCATTCTCCTCCGTGGTCGCGGTTTCCCGAGAAAAAGGCTACACAGTGCGTGTTGCTTTCCTAATGCATTATGTCTCGTGGATTCATTTAGACGTTGCTGCCAGGAACCCCACCCCGCCGATGACCTCAACGGATTCGACGTCGCTCGAAAACTCACCATCCTCTCTCGGCTGATCTCATCCGCACCCTCCAGTAATCCATCAACTCTACCAAGCCTCCAATCCTTCGCCTCAGTGCAAACCGCATCCCTCATCCCACTCCCTCTCGAAGGCATCCCCACTGGTGACGAGTTCCTCAAGCGATTGCCCGAGTTCGACGAGGAGTTTGCCAAACTTCGGGTAGAGGCGAGCAAGGAGAATAAGGTTCTACGGTTCGTGGGTGTCGTTGATGTTGCGAATGGGCAAGTTAGGGCCGGACTTGAGAAGTACGTCCTCTCTGCATATATGTTTGCTTTATTGCTTATGCTTTTCTTTGGTGCCTAGGTATCCTGTTGATCACCCTTTCGCAACATCTCTCGGTGGATCGGACAACATAATTATGTTCCATACGGAGAGATATAGCCCACGCCCGCTCATTGTTCAAGGCGCTGGTGCTGGCGCAGCTGTCACTGCTATGGGGGTGCTGGGAGATCTCCTGAAGCTCGTGTGAGGATGCGAACGAGAAGCGTTGGCATTAACAATTATTTGCCATTCAAAACTCCGAAGATGCAAACTAGTCAATACAAAATGGAGGATCCGAAGTAGAATTGAGGAAGTAGGTTGAATGCCATTGATACAGATCAGGAGAATGTAAGTATATGTCCACGATTTGAGCCGTCTAACTGAATCAATGTCGTATTGAAAAGTGAAAGTGAAGTACGAGAGTATAAATCTAAAATCGTATCCTGAGGGGTCCTGATACACGCTCCTTGCAGAATCAATCCGTCAGCGCCACCACGCCTCCGCAACAAAGTATACTCATCGGCTACAGAGGTATACTCATCGACTACAGAGGAGCAGAGGAACCGACAATTCCCGCCATGGCCACGGCATGTTGCGTAGAGCAGGGACGTTGACAGGCCTCGCCCACGTCCGGCTCGCAATCCTGTAGTACATCTCTCCCCTGCACCACCGGACCCCAACGACAGGGTATTCAGATACCCTGCTCCAAAACTCGTTTTCGAGCACCTCTGGGTCCATGTCCTTCGCATACAGCGACACTGCGAGCATAAGGGCGGCGAGGAAGACGCGGTGGCCGTTGAGGATCGTCCTTCACTGTGGGCAGCCGATGCTCCTAAAAAACCCGCGTCGGAATAGCACTGATATCTACGGTATCTTGTATGCACCGTAAACTACCGCCTGTTTTAGCCTTGTTTTAACCTGCAATACAACCGGAGTATTAGGGGTTTCAGGCACCGAAAAAAGGTGGAAACACGTGGCAAAAACCCCAAATTTCGGCGCCTATTGCAGATTTTTTCGTGGCAGTCAGGCAGGCATTTTGGGCGCCTACACCCTGCTGCTATTTTCATCGGTCTCATAGGCAGTCATAGTCCTGGAGCTCAAAGCAGTTGTATTTGTAGTTAAATATTACATCTGTACATAGTATCTGAGGCTCCCCACTGACTGCTGAGTTCCGTCGCACCCGTGTCGAGCTCGCGGCGAACCGCCCTATTCGTCAAAGGCCTGGGGAAAGCGGGACACATGACGAGTGATTTATTGAACGGGACAACGATTAATTCATACCTAGCAGCTGTGGATGACGTAACTGGCGTTTCTGAGCTTGAGAAAGGTCTGGACGACATCGGGTCAGCATTTGTGTACAGCAAGAAGCAGCGGAATGAAACATACTATCGCTAGGGATTCCACATTTGCCACGACTATGGTTGATAAGGAATCAGTGCGGCGAGAGTCAATTGAAGGCATAGATGTACCGGACAAGCCAGTACGTAGGCCGTCGTGATCCTCTGCTCGCAGTGGCTCTATGGAGCACTGGCGGTCCCTATAGAGCTCTTAATAACCGGGGGTCCTCCTGCGATCTTCCAATGCGAATGAGACTGAAACCCGGTGCCCCTCACCGAGTGTAATGGGAGCGTGAGCACACACTAGATGTTGGTACAAATTACTGATCAAATCAGTACCAACACAAGGGGGCGATGGAGGGTGCGTACCTTGACACCTCCTTCGTCAATGACGTAGACGCCAAGTTTCGGGCTGTGGTGCAGGTTAGCAATATTTGCGATGTTGAACCAAGCACACGAACAGATTTTGAATCCTGTAGACGCGTCAACAAAATGCACTCTCAAAAGTCGATGAGCTCAGGAACAACGTACCTGCCTCACAAGAGCCACCCATGGTATCATTTGCTCCTTCTCGCAACTGGTCTTCGCAGGAATAACGCTGTGAGTGAGTACATAACAGCAAAACCAAAGGTGAGCTTACCTTCGCCTGGCGCTGTCTATAACCACCTTCGCTTTCGATGTGGTTTCTATACCACGCACGTGCCCTACGGCTTCAGGAGCCATCCCTGCCAGTTGTGCATATGCCGATGATGCCGCGCTGAAAGTTAGAGAGGGCTGGTACTCAAGAGTAGCTTCAACTTGCCAGAGATGGGGCCACGGTGGACAAGTCGTGGATGAGTAGACTCCAGGCCATAGAAATCCAAAATATGAGCATAAATGAACGCATATATTGAATAAGAGGCCATACTTACAGCACCAGCATCACTTCTAGACGCGCTCAGGCTCCAGTGGCGATCCGATTCGTGATCGGCCAGATCGGAGGGCGGAATTAGTTCGTTCGGGTATTCCATCTAGTTTTGAGGTAGTTATACGGCCATCTGTGCCCACAGATAGAAGATCAGGCATGGGGAGAGGGTGGTTGGGGTGCAAGCTGCGGAGGACACGTTGCGGCTCAAAACGGGACGCATACTGTCACGTGCTCAGTGTTGTTTGGCATCGTCTTGTTTGTTCCAATAGGCGTCCAAACAAAGTGGGGAAGAAAATCTCACTTTGTTTGGACACCTATTGGAACAAACAAGACGATGCCAAACACTAGTCAAACTGACCCCCAAGTCCGCTGTCCCTTGTCGGCATGCCAAGCTTTCCAGGTTTGCGCTACCACCGCCGATGCTGCCCATTCGCCGGTGCCGGTGTGTACTCTTCTCCTCTGTGTGTATCCACAAGTAGCTAATTAAAGTGTCACAATTCCAGAGTCGTATTCGGTGCCTGGACTCATTGCCCAATGAGCTGTTCAACCAGGTGCAGCTCAATGACGACCAACAGTCTCGCATTGACGAATGCCACCCGCTCTTGCAGGACCAGCTACATGAACTCCTTCACACTACCCCGACAACAATGGCCAAGCATGGCTTGACGACTGGCAGACAATGGTGTGAGCGAAGGGTTTCGCAGAGGTGATTAGGCCCATCTTTTCACGAGAAAACTACAAGCTAATCATGCCATTTGCCCACATCGGACTCAACCGCAACCTCAACCTACCCACCTTCTCTCTATCGTTCCACTGCCCCTCTGTCCTAGGACTGCTCCACCACCATCAACATGACAACATGACAGGAGGGAGCTTATCAACACACAAAGGTATCACCCATGGCAAATGACGAGGTGTATTACAGTGCATATACAAAGCTTGAAGGTTGTGAACGTAGGCATATTTTTGGTGTATCGTTGAGCTATTTTTTCAATTCTCGACGTGAGGATGAGGACAGTTGGAGGGAATAACTATGGAAGGCAAGATGGTGTTAGAGCAGCAATAAATTCCATTATTTTAGCTGGATTTTATTTGCGGAGATAGCTAAGTGCCAGAATGACTACCTCGTAGGGCATAGGCAGGTGATTCACCGAAAGAAGCCATAACCCAGGATTTTACCTGCCCTCCGTAGCAGGGAAATAGACGGTTGGACCCATACCAGGAGATTTTAGGTATTTTTAGATATGGGTTAATTCCCGGTCGCCGGAAAACACCGGAAATACCTGCCTTTTGGAGGCAGGACGACCGAAAGCAGGGAATTTCATGTATTTTTAGATACAACTTATTTACCGGCTACTGAAAATCCCCGGAATTCCCTGCCTTTTTGGGGCAGGACTCCCCGGAGCAGGTATTTCCCCGGCTCCGGCTTCCCACAGTGCCTTGCCGTGTTCTCGGCAGACTGCAGCTCCTGTTACGCGCCTCGTCTCCACTTGATGAAGTTCATCATCGTCAGGAAGGAAGGTTGACCATGCGCTATGTACAAAGACGTTGGCGATGTACTGCGCGTGGCTGACGATGCAGTAAGGCAGCAACGGTGCACATTGGGTGAAGATGTTTGCGAGGAAGGTGTGGAGTGGTGGTTGGTTGGATAGACGTGAGTCAAGTGTCTCGTCTGGGCAGGCGTAGCGGGTGTGTAGCACCTCGCGCACGAGGGTCGCGACGTGGGTGGAGGTAATGGAGTAGTGTAATGGTGGTAGGACGGGCGGGGAAGGGCGCAAGGGGGAAGTGAGACTTTGACTTTCTAACTTCAGTCTGAGCCTTTGACGTGGGTGATAGTTTGGCCTTTGAGAGCATCCGATTAAGGCGCGAAGGCCTTGGAAGTGCGGGGATGGTGAAGAAGGATGGTGTAGTGATAACGCTGGTGGTTGTGTAGACGAGTGAGGAGGGCGAGTCGCTGCGAGAACGAGAGCGGGTGGTGATGAAGCGTCTGACGTCTTGGAACATGATAGTGGTAATAGTATCCCCTGAGAGGAGACAAGGCAGAAGGACAAGCACTGACTCATTATAGATATTTTGTCTTCATAAAAAAATCCGCAGAACGTGAATAATCGATGCGGTGTCTCGTTCAAGTTCCGCGGATGTTTTCCAGAAGGATCGCTTCCGCTGGGCCAAGTCGATAGGAAGAAAAAACATGTCTCATCCTGCGTAGAGACCAGATCCAAGAACACTCTAGTATCAAGAGATTGAAGACGAGGCCGCTAGGAGTTGCACTGCCATAGACACCTCGGGAAGATTGTGTCACCTATTATCGAGAAAACAAAGACCAGATTGGTTCAATCGAGGATCATCTGGTTGACATCCAAGCAGGGACCTGCAACGGAGCAGTGGTTCCGGAGTGATCGTTCAGGTTCTCTGTGGTCTCAGGTGATGGCATCATGGTGGCAGTGCCGATGCCTCGAAAAAGGAAATTTTGGGATGTGCGCCGCTGAATCGTCATGTCAGAAAGGAGTGGATTAATCGAGCTATGAAACAAAATGGTAAATTCCACATGCTTGGAGCCTGAAGAGGAATATATGACAGGTTCCTTTCCTGAACTCCAGTCGGCTGACGCGACCCTGCCCGCTGATCTTCCCACGGGAGAATTCTCAGAACCGGGGTTCAAATGGGAACCTACTATCAACGCCTCCGAGCCCCACGAATCCAAGGAGAGCGAGACGGATATGACGGTCTTATTCTGTAGAGCACTCCGAAATCGCCGTCGTTTATCATGATGCGCAGATGATTGCGTGAGGCGCTTGATAAGAGCTAAGGCCTAGGAATTCGACCCTGTGGTTTTATTACCCAATAATCACCATCAGACCATGGTAAGTAAAAGTACGGAGGTGGCATCCCGTTAAGTGAGAAGCGTATGGCAGAAAGCTACATCGCGTTTCATTAGTCAGAAAGAAGAAGTATACGCTGTGGAACATGTGGCTTGCATACCTATGGCTTGTTACGAGACGATCTGGTGAAAGACCTTGTCTGCTCGTTTGAAAATGCTAACTCCAGACCCTTCTCTCGACGTCGTGCCTTCCATGCACAATCTGCGAACATGGCCACGAACGAGGCGACGAGAGCAGTTGTGATGCTTGCGATGACTGTCATGGTCAAATGTTGGTGGTTGATACTGGGTAATACCCCTGCGTTGAGGCACGTAGAATTTTCGCAGTAGTACGAGTCTTCAACACCTGCGATGCGCCGAGCATTCCCGTGGACGGTGACACCCCAAAGAGGTATCAATATGGCGGCACACGCGAAGTTAACGCAAGCAGCGGTCGAACGACGCGTACGTGTGAGTTTTTGGTAGAATGCGGATGAGGGGATACAGGCGGAGAGGATGATAAATAAGAGGTAGATGGTGGTGAGGATCGAAGCAACGAAGCATACAAGGGTCCTCGTCTGATTTAGGTCCCTGGACGTCGAGGTTCTTTGGTCCTGGACGAAGCCGATGATCGAGAGCACAAGCATTGTGATGGAGAATGCGATTGTTGGAAATGAGAGGAGAACGAATTTGCTTGGGAATAGCCTTTGTGGAGGATGCACCAATGTGCTGGGAGCGTATAACGTTGGAGATGTCCTTCCATCTTCAATGTCGATAATCATCCTCGGTGTCAAGGCTTCCAAAGGCGATGGACAGGACCTGGAGGTATCCGCTCAAAAAGAAGGCATAGCAGATGTATTACATATATCCTCTGAAGCAATCTATCAGCGGGGCTTTCGTAAGTTCACAACTGATGGATGCGCTTGGCCGGCGGTGTCCGTCAGAGGAAGTTATCTCAGTTGGGAGTCAAGCTTATAGATAGCAGTGTGGTGGCGGTGAAGGACGTACACTTTGGCGCGGTGATAATCTGGAAAGGACACTCCGGAGCAGCTGCCGTCCCAAGGTCCCAATACCGTCTGAGCCACTGCCAGAGGGTGAGGCTAATGGATAGCGTGAAAGACAGGTCATGTAGAATTAAACTGACGCCCAAAAAAAGTTTCGTTCTTCACATTACAAAATAAGATCGAGTGGAAGTAGGAGAAACTAATCTTTAACGCATCAAGATGTGCCACCCCGCCCGAAGACCTTCGCATGAGTCAGTCGTTGATTTGTCCTGGAATTTCCGATAAATACGTAACTCTTATAGTCGATGAGTTTTAGGTAGAATAAATGGCAGGAACGGAACACACCTAATATCGGGAAACTTTCCCAGTGATGGACACACTCAGCTCGGACTCGGGCGTGGGGAATTGCAATGCGGACGCTGCCTTCTCCAAATATGCCTTCCGAGCGCAATGGAGGAATATTACAGTAATTGACGCCATAAGAGCAGTCTCGAGGCTGGATAGCACTGTCATCGTGACATACTGTTCATCGACTTTGACCATGCCTCTAGTGCTGCACCCTGATGATGTGCAAGTGGTCCAATCCTCCCTGCCTCGGATGCGAAAGGCATTTCCCGACACCGCACCTGCCCAAACAGCAGTCACGACAGCTGTATATCCCGCGTTGATGCACATGAATTTCAGACGCGAAACGGGCGTAATGAACGGGGGAAATCGAGAGGGGATCCAAAATGAGAGGATAATTGTCGTTAGGTAGAGGATGTTGAGGCAGGAGGCGACCATGGAAACTATACTGGCTTCAGGGTGCATTGCGATGATTGCCTCTTTGGATAATCTGGGGAACTCTTTGGCGTCCTTGCGATAGCCATGGATGGAGAAAGACAGCATTGCGATAGAGATCGTGACAGAAGGATAGGCAAGGAGTATAGCTTTGTTCGGAAAGAGCTTGCGCGCGGTGCGAATCGTGGACGTCGTACTCGGTGCTAAGGTAGCCGGGGACGCTCTTCCGTCTTCCATGTCGAGGATCATTGTTGGTAGAAAGGAAAGGCTTCCTAGGGAGAGTGGAGGGTTGGATAAATGCAAAATTGGGGCAGCATATATTCTGCTGATCTTATAGGATTGCTTGCCATTGGGATGCGCAGTGTCTGATGATCATAGTTGAACGTAATCAGTGATGGACTCGACAATGTCCTGGGCTTGGTACGCCGAACGTCACGGTGGTAGGAGATATTCCCAGATTAAGACATCGATGTTTGCTGCTGCTTGGCAAGCGCGTTCAGCGTCCGACTACCACACGCCCTCTAGGCTCTACTGCCCTTCGTCGTCCACAACCACAGCAGCCAAAATGCAGGACGGTCGCGCTCCCAGGTGAGATAATGTGTATAACTTCTACGTAGCCTACTTAATGCTCTGACAGGATCAAGAATCGAGCACCAGCTGCGATCCAGGTAACACCCTACGGTTCATGTTCAATAGTTTGCTCATTTCCTGCAGATCACAGCTGAGCAGCTGCTACGCGAAGTAAGTATTTCTTCCATCGAGCTATGCTCATCTCTTATCGTCGTTTAAGGCTCAAGAGCGACAAGAAACCGCGTTCCGTGCCCCAAAGCAAAGGGTTGAAGATTTTGAGGAACTCCATGAATACCGAGGTCGGAAACGAAAGGAGTTCGAGGAACGGATTCGACGGACACGGGGCAGCATGTGAGTACCCAGAATTGATTGGCTTTTGTCCCGTTCTAAATTTCTGTTCTTCAGAAAAGAATGGCTGCAGTATGCCAACTGGGAGGTACGTTCTCTCATTCAGACCTCGCGACGCTTGTTCAAACTGTCCTCAAGGCTTCACAAAACGAGTTCGCTCGCTCAAGATCAATATTTGAACGTGCTTTGGATGTCGATCCCCGGAGCATTCAGCTATGGCTTTCATACACTGAAATGGAGCTCAAGTCCCGCAACGTCCAGCACGCGCGCAACCTCTTTGACCGCGCTGTGACACTTCTTCCGCGAGTTGACCAGCTCTGGTACAAATACGTCTACCTCGAGGAACTCCTTCAAAATGTTCCTGGCGCTCGTCAGGTGTTCGAGAGATGGATGAAGTGGGAGCCGGATGACAAGGCCTGGCAGGCCTACGTCAAACTGGAGGAGAGGTATCAAGAGCTCGACCGTGCGAGTGCCATCTACGAGAGATGGGTGGCTGTCAGGCCTGAACCACGGGTGTGGGTGAAGTGGGGCAAGTTCGAGGAAGATCGTGGTCGGGTCGACAAGGCGAGAGAAGTCTTCCAAACGGCGTTGGAGTTCTATGGGGATGATGAAGAGCAAGTAGAAAAGGCCCAGGCCGTGTTTGGTGCCTTTGCTAAGATGGAGACGAGAGCGAAGGAATTCGAACGAGCTAGGGTTATCTACAAGGTGAGTCGTGCACTGCATTGTCCACCTCCATCGATATGATTGAATTTCGCAGTTCGCCCTCTCACGCATACCCCGGTCAAAATCTGCCGGCCTGTATGCTTCATATACCAAGTTCGAGAAGCAGCATGGAACGCGGTCTACCCTTGAAAATACTGTGTTAGGCAAACGCCGCATCCAGTACGAGGAAGAGATCTCGCATGATGGGCGCAATTACGACACATGGTTCGACTACGCCCGACTAGAGGAAGATGCCTACCGGGACTTAAAGGAGGAGGGTGCAACACAGGAAGAACTCGATACTGCTGTGGGCCGAGTTCGCGAAGTTTATGAACGGGCGGTTGCGCAAGTGCCGCCAGGTGATCAGAAACGGCACTGGACCCGGTACATCTTCCTATGGTTGGACTATGCGCTGTTTGAGGAAATCGAAAACAAGGTTAGTAACAGCAGTTGAGAGTACACTGATTACTGATAGTCTGCCGTTAGGATTATCCACGTTCCCGACAAATATACCAAACAGCCATTCAGCTCGTGCCGCACAAACAATTCACGTTCGCAAAGCTCTGGCTAATGTTTGCCAAATTTGAAGTCCGGAGATTAGACCTACCTGCAGCACGTAAAATTCTTGGGACGGCCATCGGCAAGTGTCCCAAAGAGGCTCTCTTCAAGGGATACATAGACCTTGAAATCGAGGTATGTCGCGTCATTACCGTCATCCCCTTTATGTTCGACCCAGATGCTACTTAGCTTCGTGAATTTGATCGTGCGCGCACTTTGTACGAAAAATACCTCGAGGTATGTCCCATAGCTTCATTCAAGGAATTTGCTCATCCGGAATGGCTAGTTCGATCCTTCGAACTCTCCTGCTTGGATCAAATTCGCCGAACTGGAAGCCCAGCTCCAAGATTTCGCCCGGACACGTGCCATCTTTGAGCTTGCCGTTTCTCAATCACCGCTATCGATGCCTGAACTCTTGTGGAAAGCATATATCGACTTCGAAACAGAAGAGGGTGAACGAGAGGCTGCTCGTTCGCTCTACGAGCGACTCATTGCCCTTAGTGGACACGTCAAAGTCTGGATTTCTTACGCCCTCTTCGAAGCTGAGCCTATCCCGCTACCAAGAGCGGAACGTGATGAAGAGGAGGAGGAAGATGATGAAGAGGAGCGGAAGATGGCTCCTGGAGAGCCTACATTGGCAAGACAGGTCTTTGAGCGGGGCTATAAGGATCTCAAGAGCAAAGGTCTCAAGAGCGAGGTACGAGCTTCTTGCGTGTTGTTTTTGACTCCCTTCCGAAACCATCTTGTTTCTTAGCGTGTGGCTCTGCTCGAAGTTTGGAAGACCTTCGAGGAGACCCATGGTTCGCCGGAGGACGTTAAGAAGGTGGAGGGAATGAAGCCTATCGTCACCAAAAAGCGTTTCGTCGACCAGGAGACAGGGCAAATGGTGGAAGGTTCGCTATTCTCATTAGTTCCTGTTGCGACAATATCTGACTGCCTACCTTTGTTCTCGACAGACTGGGATCTCGTATTCGCCGACGACGAACGGGAGTCCAACCCTACAACATTCAAGTTTTTACAAATGGCCCATGCCTGGAAGCAGGCTCAACAATCGCAAACGAGAGCTGGCGGCCCTGCTGCCGGTGGCTCAAGTTTGTTGTCTGGATTTACAGCTGCGACAACCACGACTACAGCAACGGAGGAGGAAGAGAAAGAGAAGGAAGAAGGGAAGGAAGAAGAAAAGATGGACGAGAAGGAGGACGCGGGCGAGCAGAGCGATGTTGCCAGCTCGCATGGAGACGACTCTGATTGAGAGGCCTACCTTGAGCAGGGGTTGGATGATGCTACATGTTAACTGTATTTGTTGGCTTCGTATAATTGATTTCGCTGATTCATGTAACTTGGAATAGCGTTGAATAGCAGAGAAAAAGCAGGCCCTGAAGCTTGAAACTCGAAGCTTGAATTCTTGTTGTCCAACTATGGTCAAATCTCGTTGTCCGGGAAGTAGGAGAGTTACATATCGTGTACGAGTATGAAAGGGGTACCGAAGTTGAACTGCTCATCGATTCAGAATGATATGAGAGACTCCCTTCATCTGAAGCGACACCGCCCACTGCTAAAAGAATTATTCAACAAAAAGAACGAAACAGCCGAGCTCCTTGATCGAACGCTCGACTTTACTTATGTTCGCAGCCGCGACGAGAAGAAATCTCAGGCAGCTGAGAATCCTGAGATAAGTTTAAGATGTTGTGAGAGAAGTAGGTACTTGTGGCCGTAAGAACGGTATGAAAGCCCGTACGCACTTAATATATGAAATGGCCCTCACGGCATTACACGTACTCCCTGTCATGACTTGAGTTCTCGTGAAACTAAGGCTAAAGTTCGTGATCAACTTGAAGATCGTGCGGGGACTCCGGACCGCCCCAGTAAGGGCCATCACGTGGTATAATTTGTCGCGTCGCGACGCGTCTACTCCTGAGTGCTGGACTCCGGTTCTGAAACATGTATTTGTCTATCCAGAGGATTCCATATGGTCAGCTCCCTGCAAAATCTCAAGAAAAGGAAATGAACTACGCGCTCCCACAATGCCCGGTCAGCCCTCAACATGCCAAGCACGTCGTTCGATGAGCCACCTACTGAAAAAAGGAAAAGCATCTTTGATAATTTGGTGGGTTGGCATCCAAGCATAAACGTGGCTTTGCTGAACAATGGGGAGGTCAAAGCTGTGGCCTGATTTAGCGAATGTGGCATTGCGCTTTGCGTAGATATAAATATAGCGTGCTCTGTAGCTGCACCTTTGCTACACCTTGAATCAACCCCTTCACCTTCGACCGTCAAGCTCATAAGACGTCCTCCCAATTTCCTACTACTCCAACCACATTATAACCTGCACTTCGATATGGTCTTGCAAACACCTTTTGACGCTCTCAACGGGAGAAATGACGACAACTGCGACATACCTCCGCCTGCCACCCCGCCTCCATCAGCTTCACCGCAGCCTCGCGCGGCCTTATGGAACCCGCTGGAAGGCGACACCTCTGCTGCAAATACCTTCTGTCCTCAGAGTCCTCTGGGTTTCATTGACTTGAATCGTATGATGAAGACTTACTTCAAATTTGCGGAGGACGAGGAGGAGAACAAACGGGGCGAGGACCAGGAGGACGAGAGGTATGCCACTTACCTCAACTAATGACCGAGTATTTGTTAATAATTTTGGTATCAGCCACCCGTCCTTGACCTGCAATCCTCTCTCGCCGTCCGCTGTTCCGCCAACCGCGAGGACGATTTATTCCGTCCGTCGCCCCGACAGGAGTTCACCCACCACCTCACCCTCCCGTCAGACGGTCCAACAATCTCGAGCCACTCCATCGCCCCTACCTCTCTCGCACTGTCGAGTGGCACCGTCCTCACCACGGTCGCCCAATGGGACTCATACCCCCACCCTTAGCGGTTCTTCCTTGACCAATTTGTCGGGAACCTCTGAATTTGCCACGATTCTACGCACCTACGTCGGCTCTGACGCGTCTGACGAGAGCAGCTCTGATGAATCGGACCTTAACGGGTCGGACGAGGACACTATCGCCCAACGCGTCAACAAGGGCAAAGGACGCGCCATCGAGCCGGCGCCAGGATGGGAGGTAAACTTCGAGGCTGGAGACTTCCTCGACGACAATCGAGATCTCTGCGTCGACCCCCGAGAAGCGTTCGCGGTCGAGGAAGAAGACTACGCAGATGCTGAAGAAGACACCTTTGACGATGGCGACGATGATCAGGACGATGATCACGAATACGTGGAGAACGACGATGCGGAAGCTTCTCCTACGGGGCCCAGCACGAGTGCAGCGTACTACGGTGCTGGGCCCATCACATCTGCACCAGTCGCTTTGGGAACCCTCCAGCGACTAAACACACAATCATATATGAATGAGGGTAGTTCAGCACTCGGAAGCGAGCAGCCAACTGTCCTCCCATCCAAAATCGGTGTCAAGCGGAAGAGGGATGCCGACGACGAGGGATCAGATGGAGAGACAAAGGTCGTTGTGGGTCTTGGCACGCCTCTACACCAGCGTATGTCCAACGCTGAGATCCAGGAGGCATACGACGGGTCGAAGCACCCGAACCCTCGGAAGACGTTGGATGACTTCGGCTGCCGCGTTTGGCCAGGGCAGCCCGCGAAATGGTGTTGCCACTTCTGCCCGTACGCCTTGCAAGAAAGGTCAAGCATCAAGCGCCACGTCAAGGCGCACCACTATGCGGGGACGCTGTCTTGTGAGCCATACGGGTGCTTGTGCGGTGATACATTTGTGACATCGCGAAGAGAGTTGTTGGAACGACATCTGAGCACCGACTGGCGGAATTCGAAGAGGCGGAAGACGGGGGAGCCGAAACCGAAGAACGTGAAAAGGGGGATGGAGGGGAAGAAGGGGAAGAAATAGACGCTGCATGACTTGCCACTGTCTCGGGGGGGTGCGAAAGTGTAATGGGGGTCAAAGAGCGATGAGAAAGAGCAAGGAAGTGAAGCGAAGGCAGGAAGTGAAAGATCTGATCAACGATCAGATGGATCGTCGAGATACCCACGTATGCACGATCTTATCTTCCCCCTTCAAGCAGTTGTACCAACAATACTTGGTATGATCATGAAGTTTGTATCGAATGAGCTTCACTCTTAATTCAACCTTAATTGGACAATAAACTTCAATGCCCTCAAGTCATGCTCTTCGGAATCCTGACAGCAGAGTTTATCTGCTTTAATTTGATTGCATTTGTGCGTGCTCATAGTATACAGTACTAGGTCACCGTTGGTGTACTTACGGCGAACCCCGCGTAGGATTTTTCCGGGAAATTTTAGAAAAGATGGGTTAAAACGAAGGTAAAAGGGATTGGCAAGCAACTCATAACTTTCATTTTACTCATCCCCTCACAAATCTTTAATAACGACACTGCCTGCCAACAACACTTGCTCACCTCAAAGAAACACCGTGCTCTTTGGTACTCATAACAGCTGTAAATTCGCGGCCGTCCTATGTCTAGGTCGAATCCTAGAGGAAACGTTGTGAGTGTGAGCCGTGCACTGGGTTGGGAATGTCCCAACTGTGATTGCTGACCCAAGCTCAGATTGGGCAGCCAGCGCTGCACCGGATGCTTCCTCGTCATCATCCGCCATGCCGTTTCGGTAAGGTGCCGAACTGTAACCGTACCTGGGAGCGCTTGAGGTCGTGAAATTTTGAATACGGCCCTTCCATATCTCTATGGCTGCCGTTACCGTTCGCCGGTGCGAAGTACAACCAACAACGCGTCATCCACGTAGCACTGGCAGATGTTAACGCTGAAAGGTACAGTGGCGTGTCGAACGGTGGCAATTATCGTCATCCCTCGACGTCACACCAGTCTTCTTGTGCACTAGACGCCCATAATGCTGTGACGTCACTGTCAATGACGTCACCTGCATCCTTCTGGCGCTCAATAAATGTAGATCCACCGAGTCCTGGATACGTATAAAGCGCGTCAATCCTCTTCTAATTCTCAATATCTCTGCCCACACAATCCATCAACCACGAACATTTATCACTCTTCAAATCGACACCACTGACAAACATCATGTCTTCTTCAGCTACCAACACTGTCTCCGGCGAGCCCAAGTGCGTTCATCCCTTTCCCTCTGCTATAAGAGTTTAACTTAAAGTTTTTCTACAGCAAGCTGAACGCCCAGTATCACTCCGTGAAGGGCACCACCGTCGAAGCTGTTGGCAACCTCACCGGCGCGACTTCGTGGCAACAGTCAGGAAAGGAAGAACACGCGGCTGGCGAAGCCGAGTACAAGGCTGCCCAAGCCAAGGAATATGTGGAGGGAGCGGTGGATCGTGTCGCTGGAAAGACAGATGCCATTGTTGGGGCCGTGACTGGCGACAGGCAAAAGGAGATATCTGGTGCGTTTTGCCTTCGCTTGTCTGTTGGTTTGTAGATCCTGACGTGCTCTTGCAGGAAATATTCAACACGATAAGGGCCAAGCTCAGCAAGAGATTAACAAGATATGAAACAGACATAATTCCAGCATCCCTGGCGCGCATCACTAGTGTATAATCTCGTACTTCAGCTATAACTGGTCGTATTAGTTCTTGTCAACGACCGAAATGTAATTTATATTGCTGAATTTGAAGGGGACAGAGTAGAAGGAAATCAAACCGATGAAAGCCATGACCCCACTCCATGTTTGTCGGATCGACAGCGGATATTGAAAGACAACGTACCTTGCAAGAAATTAAACTTGATTAACCCTTTGTTCGACCTTGCGAGATTGATAAACAACCCGCGTCTTCCTCATGATCCAACTCAGCTCTTTACTGGACAAGATGTGTAGCCTATGATCGAGAAGCGTAGGGTGCGGGTGTCCAGCCGTGATGGTAACCCATCCTTTTTCAACTCCTTCCCATATCCATGTTCTCACCTCGCTTCGCCATTCGTTGACGAAAAGATCACCAACAAGTACTCCAGGTACGGCCGTAGGTTGAGATAAATGGGTGTCGCTTGTGAATGTGTACCAGCACATGTACGCGACCTCTCCGCGAATTTTGCGCTCCTTTCGCGCGATTACGACCCTTCGATTGACATTAAATGAGAGGGACGAAGGGATGGTCCTGCGGATCTCTGGAGTATTCCATGGCCACTGTAGGTGGGACTGTAGCGTGCTGGGGAGGGGGGGTATTTTGGATGTGCAAAGCCCCGGGAATGGAAGTGTACCTAAGGATCTCCGCGTTCCCCTCCTGGAGCTCGGGCTTGGAGGTCAGCTCAGGCTGCGGCGTCGGCGCAAGACTGGCTAAGGCTGCAAGCGACTCGTCAGCTGCATCTGGCGCTGGGACTACATCTGTGTGCTCGGCGTAAATATAGGGCTCAGTTTCATTCATGATTAAAATCTGCGAAACTTCATTCTCTTCAACAAGGTCGACTTCGGAGGGTATAGACTGTTCGTGGCTTGGGGCGACCTAGGAAGAAGAGCGTTCAATGGATTATTGATCCCAGAGGAAAGAAGATAGATGCACGCACGTTACTCGCTCCAGACGAGGTGCTGAGTATGGATGATAAGGGTAACGGACCCTCGACACGAAATATATTGATTGGTATCCCCTGCATGAGAGATAACAGGTCCAGGTAGTTGGTTATTAATAGAGTTCACCAGACGGTCGTCCGGGATTTATCTCTAAGAGAAAGTACAATGACATTCCTTCTTCACGCGTCATGTTCGTCCGAACAAGCTCAGAGCGTTTAAATAGGGATTGTCACGGGTAAGCCCAGCAAACCCGTACCCGCAGGCACGGATACGGGTTTTCGCGGGTTAGGGTTTTGCAAGGTGGGTTCAAAAACCCGTGCAGCGGGTACGTCGTTTGCTGAGGCTGTGGCATCGCAGAAGCGACACGCGCCGTCAAATGACGTGGTGTTGTAATCTGCGATGGTAGAGCCTGTGGGTGGTAGAGGATGCAAGAGCAGTTGGAGGAGATGTGGGCAAAGAGATGTGGCAGGAGGGTGGCAGGAGGATGGACGAGCATCCCATTACCGGTATTCAGAAACAACACTGCAGTCAAAAGACATTGGGAAATCATCTGCAACGATCCACGAAGCACGATGGACGTACCATGCTGTCGCCTTCGTCCCATCGTCACTGTCATCTCGCTGCGGCGCTGCCTCGGCCCCTCACCCTCGTCCTCGGAGTCGTCTCGTCCTCCTCTTGTTATGCTGGAGACGTGAGCGGTTGCGCATGGATTGTGCTATGGGCTAGTCGTAATTATCACGTTCATGAGCTAGGCTCGCTTCCAATCATCGGATGGTCGTTCGATTGGCGATATGGCGCTGGCTAAGGTATAAGACACTGGTCTGCGGCGCGGCGATGATGTGGCATGTGCTGTGCACTACTGAGGGGGATGCAAGTATATGTAAGTGTATGAATTGGATAGAAGAGACTTTACTTACCTCGTTTCATCTAGATAGGGCAACGAGGGAGACGGAGACTACGAAGAGGGCGTGAAGTTGAAGACAAACGATGTGATACAGTTTCCATCGTGGCTGTGTCGGCAAATTCCGATAAGTATGGGAAACAAACTAAGAGAGGTCCGAAATAATTGCTAGGTTAAGCTCCTGCGCTTTCTTTGAACATTTCTCTGAGCCTAGTTCAAGGAACTAAAGTGTCTAATCTGAGAACCATAAGGTTATACCGGACTCTTATCCCGACTCCTATGCAAATAACCCAGAATTTTAAACTCCTGAAGAATTGGCCTTGAAATTTGTAAATAACACAAGGATTCCCGATAGCTTGAAGCAAATCGTACACCAAGTGTAATCCGTTGCGTGCTATTCATTCCTCAGCACGTCACCAACGCCTCAATAAGGCACATTTTGCCGCACAAATAGCGTTTACTAACGACTGTGGCGCAGATCGTCATTAGAGACGTCACCACTGTCATTTAGACGCCCATGACGTCACACCCCTCCCTACTCTTTGAGACCCGGCGCTATAAAAGCTCTAAAATTTGTGAGTGCTCGCTATAATAAGCAACCGCTCACTTTATACTGCCATCTACAAAACCATGTCTTCTTCAACCAAGAACGTTGTGTCCGGCGAGCCCAAGTGAGCTTCGATCCCTATTATATTCACGAGATAATCTCTTACGCCGCCTCCTGTTATCACAGTAAAACCTCTGGCCAATTCCACTCCGCGAAGGGCACCGTGGTCGAGACCGTCGGAAACCTCACGGGCGCCACGTCATGGCAACAGTCCGGCAAGGAGGAACACGCAGCCGGCGAGGCCGAGTATGATGCGGCCCAAGTGAAAGGTTACGCTGAGGGCACTGTCGACCGAGTAACAGGCAAGAAAGACGCAGTAGTCGGTGCTGTTACTGGCGATAGAAAGCAGCAGATTGAAGGTGAGTTCATCGAGATTTGATGTCAGCTGGTACGTTTGGAGGTTTGTTCTAACGGACTCGATTTGACAGGAAATTTGCGACAAGATAAGGGCGAAGCCCAGCAAGAGGTCAACAAGAAGGTTTAACCCTCTCTGCACCACTGTACTTCGCTTCGTGTATATCTCTTTGCATTCTAGGATTATTCGTGCTGCAGATAGTGTATTTAACAGTATGGTTTCTAGAAAAATGTTAACGCACTCCGAAATGATCGCTAGGTTCGGAGTAAGTAGATTACACTGTCAGATAACCCAGAAAATTCAAAGAACATCAACTTTTTGAAGAATTGGCCTTGAAAAACGGTTTCGGACGTAAAAACCCAAGGATTTCTCGATAGCTTGAAGCAGATCGTACACCAAGTGTAAGCTCTTATCTGCACGCTCTTCGTTCCTCAGCACCTCATCAACGCCTCAATATAAGCGTGAATGGCACTTCCTGAAAACGACTGTCGCGCCGATCGTGCCTTGAGCGTCATTTAGACGCCCATGACGTCAGTCGGATGTCAATGAGGAGAAGTACGCGGTTCACATGGGCTTCTGACAACACGCAAAGCCCTCCCTGTTTATTCTGCACCGTGAGGTATCCGCCACCTTTGTTTCAACTCCCATAGCATCCCAGACTTCGGTAGAGAACTCTCGAGTCGCTAGGGTATCCAGCCAGTCAGCAGCTGATATGATCCAGCATTCGGTGTGGCGCACCTTGATATACTCGACCACTTCTGTACGAAGTGGCCCGTGGTGTTCCGCTAGTGCTTTCGGTGCGGTGTAGAAAAGAAACTGAAGAAAGATTTCCGAATAACCGCAATGAGGGAGAAGCATTGAGGCAAAACGCAAAGACGCCGATTGTGCTTCAGTCGACTCCTTGCCGTTTCGGTATAAGATACGAGGACCTCTGTCCTGTATCTGCAAAGATCCAACCGCTGTTCTGATTGCTTGAAAAAAATCCTCGTCTAAACTGTCTCGAGACGTGTTGCGCATCCAACGAAGGAAGGCGACAGATTTGATTCTAGTAATTCCGTCTAAAGCATGGGCCTTGATAGTAGAATGGGCGCGAACGTCAATGGGTTCCAGGTTAATGGCCAAGATGCTAGCAGTGACTTGAGCATGATCCCGGAGGAAGACTAGGTATAAGTTGATTTCGTCGATAAGGTTCAGAGAAAACTGGATATCGCAATCCTTTATGGTTGTCCAGTTAGTCAGGAAATCCGGATTTGGGACACGGGCATGCACTTACCTGGCATAGAAGTATAGCCTCAACCCGCGAAAGAATTTTCCAAAGGAAGACAGAAAAATGAGGCTCGACCGAGGTCCAATCAATGTCCAGATTTCGCATGGACATTTCTGCAGCAAGGAAATTGGAGTGAAAGGGCAGGTATTGCATAGAGAGCAAGAATTCCGACACTCTCTTTGACACGGGACCATATTGGCAATGCTTCAGAAAGAGAAGGAGCCATTCCGGTTCGTAGTCCCACCAAGCAGAAAATAACTGATCGCGAGACGCCGGGGGAGCTGTGATTATTAGACGAAATCGTGTCAATACTGATCAAATTCAGTAGCAGGGCTCACGCACAGCGGGGCAGTATCTTTCCTAGATAGTAATTTGCGAGGGCGTCATGGGCAAGTGTCAAATCTAGTCGATAATCTTCCGACCGTGATGCGTCGAGGAGGAAGTCAAATAAGGAGGCATGAAATATCTTGATAGGTTGATCCCTCGAAATAACAACGACAAGGGAAAGGAGGTCGTCAAGGGCGAGTTCAACATCTCCAGGCTGAATTTGTAGAATTTCCTCCAGCCCGACTGGGCTCGTGCACTTCGCGTTCAAGTTAAACTTTTCTCCGAAATGAGAAGACAGGTATATAATACCAAGGATGCGGTGAGCTGTTTTCAGGTCTTCGACGGAGGAGAAAATGCAAGAATAGAGGACGTCGAGTTGGGCGAACGGCTTCTCTTTGGTTGGTACTGGCAAAAGGCCGAGGATAATGCGGAGGCGATGGTCGGGTCGATGCCTCCGGGAGCCAATGTAGTTCATGACAATAGAGGCGTATATAAACTGCGTTGACGCCTTCTTGACCAACTCCAGGATATCTTCAGCCGTGGGCCACGATTCGGGGAGATGCTTACATAGAGGATGCGATCGGCATATCTCCGTGAACTGTTTGGTGAGGAATGTGTGGATGTCCGAACGAGCGCTCAAATCATCATCAAGGTTTATGCGACGGACATGGACACCTTGAAATATCTTGTCAAAGGTGAGCGTATGCATGACATGCGATTCGGGCCTGCTCGCAATGAGGAAGCGGAAGGGAAACGGTAGTCGAGGAGCGACTTCCCCAATGATACGCAGCAAGTCGCACTGTACTTCACGACCTTGGCACTCGTCGAGTCCATCAATGATCACGAGCCTGCAGATCCTAGAGAACTCCTGTTTCCTTGAAGGGGAGGGCCAGAAAAAACAATTGCGTTGTCGTTTCCTGTAGCTGTTGTTTAGGGAAAGGAAAGGCTCCACCAACAGCTTTTCCAGCTGGGTGCTACGGGATTTCTCGAAGAGTGCAGGGTCTGCCTCCACAGCTTTTTCGATATACGGGCGCAGGATGGGTTGCGTGTGCGCGATCTGAAACACCAGCGTTGGAATCAAAGTGTTTCCGTCCCTCCGATGAGGCGCCGTTCTCGAAAAGAAAAAGCTGGCTGCTAAGCGCCCGTTCTTGGAGCACAGTTCCGCAATGGACTGCTCCAAAGCAGACTTTCCGGCTCCGGCTGATCCATGCATGATTGTTATTGATCCAACTTCGTCATCGCTGCTAACCCAGTCCAGGATCTGCCGGATGATGCCAACCCGTGTGTCTGGATCGCACCTCGGGGGGTCGAAACGCTCGTTGGAGTCCAGGAGGCAGTTGAGCGCGCTATGCTCGCGCACAAGTAACAAGGCTCCGTCATCTGTTGGGCCGGTCAGCACTGATAGATTTCCAGGTCGTAACGGCGCACCTTTCCTAGACGTCCCTTTAATCCCACCTACTGTAGTCACGGCGGTGAAAGTCCCTCCTGTGATCTGCACATTTTGAGAGTTCTTGAACATGAAGGGGAGCCCCGAGGACTGCTTCAAGGGCTTTCAGGGAGTGTGGCAGGAGTCAGACAAGGTAACAGCAACGCCCTTAACATCCTCAAGGCGAAGGCGGTCAGGGTATGATGACAGCTGTCAATGTGAGAGAGTTGATTGTGCACAGCCATGAACGTCGACTGCAGAAGTTTGACCAGAAAATCGAGTAGATATATCCAGACATGATTAAGTACAAGGCAGTGGATGAGTGGATAGAAGGAAAATGCAAATGCAAAAGAACTGTGGATGCCCGAGCCGTAACCAAGAGAATAAGAAAAGGGGGATAGGGAGATGATCATGCGGATGTCTTGAGGTTGAGGTGGGAACGTTGACGGGCGATGCAGATACAGGATGCTGTATAGATATATGATGGATCGTGAATAGCAAGGAAGCAGAGAGAAGTAAAAAGGAGAATCGATGTACCTAACACAACATTTTTGGAGAAGACCGACAAATGGACAAGAGGGTAAGATGGAGGAGAGAACAATGGAATCGTAATGAAGATAATTGCGCTCCAAGTAAAATCATGACGCGTAGAATCAACCCCCTTCGACATCGAACTAAAATCCGGGATATCTAATCACAAGTGTAGTGGGAATACTAGACGAGACGACAGATGCAGAGCGACGAGTGGAATAGCGACAAGTGGAAAAAGCCAGAAGATGATGAGATTAGGTCGAGACAATACGAACCGAGAAACGGAAAATGCGGCACTGGAAAAAAATCCTAGAGTTTTCAGGAGATGAATAACGGCCAGGAAGATTGAATCGTTCACGAAGCCCCCTCCTCACCCGCCCCAGCACCAACCCGCGCACCGACGCCCCCTGAGCTCAAGTTCTGCGGGTCCGAGCCAGCCCTTTGTATCACACCAGCAGCCGGCGGCGTCGACGCCGCCAGGCCCTCCTTCGAGCGCGAGCTACGGGCGGGCCCGACAGAGTGCGTACGGGACAGTGTCGACGACGACGTCGCCGTCAATTCGCCCTGCGGCTGCCACGACGTGACGCCAGATATCCCTTCAGAGCTACTTTGACTCGGGTCGGCGCTCGGAGGACCAGTGACCACACTGTCCGTCGCAGAGGTGGCCTCCTTCTCGCCCTCATTCCCAACCTCCTGCTGCTGTTGGTGTTGCTGGGTAAACGGAGGAGGCTGCACGTTCGCAGGGAAGTACATCGGGTCAAAGTACCCCTTTGGCTCCAGCCCCGTCGGCGCACCCCTTCGCGGGCTCGACATCGTATAGAAATACGCCCCGTGTGTCGCATGGTAGCCTGGCGGTAACTGCGTAGGGTGCCCGAGGCCCGGTGGCGGTGGAGGCGCGAGACCTGGCGGAGGCGGATGACCCGGAGGTCCATGTCCAGGCGAATGAACTGCAACATGCACAGGCGCACCGACCGCCGCGTTGATGAACGGGTTGGGCTTCGGTATGTCCCCCGGCCGCCCGTAGAACGTCCCAGGAGACATCGCGACGCCTGGTGAGAACGCGCCGTGTACATTGGAGAGGTTGAGGCGGAGCGGCGGAGCGCCTGCTGGGGTGGGCTCTTGGTTTGCTTGCGCCTGTGCTTGCACTTGCGCTTGAGCCGCCGCCTGAGCCTGCGCCTGCGCCTGCTGAGCATAATGAAGCGGCAGGCCAAAACCCGGCGAAGGCATGGGCAGGACGAACATCGGCTGCACGGCCTGCTGACCTTGCTGACCGTGTCCTCGTCGGTCGCCCAAACCACCCTTACTCCCTCCACTCCCTCCACTACCCCGACTCCCAGCATCGGACACAGACCCACCGCCCTCCGAACCCCTACCTCCCAAAGAAGAGCTAGAACTCGCCCGCGACGACGCACGAGAACTCGAGCCGCCCGAACCCGAGCCTGAGCCCGATCCTTGTGCGCTGCGTGTCGTCTTCGTCTTCGTCGCTGATGCCTGCGGAAACGGCGCGAACTGACCCAAATGCCCAGGCGGGGGCGGCAGGAACGTGAACGGCGGCATCGAGGGTGTGATCGGTGGGAGCCCATGCGGTGTTAGCGGGATCAGGCCTCCTTGCCCATGTCCGTGTCCGTGTCCATGTCCTACACCGAGCGTCTGGTTCTGGTTCTGGTTCTGCTGCTGTTGCTGGTGCGGTTGGCCTTGAGGCTGGCTCTGGGCGCCAGGGTACATGTGGTACGGCGAGCCCATACTAGGATGGTGCATCGGGCTCGCGTTCACGACGTTGACGCTGACATACCCGTGCGGCGTATGCGGCGAGATGGGCATAGGCATCATCATCGGGAACGCGTGCGCTGGGGGTACAGGCGGAAGTGATATCGGACCTGGGTGGTGGGGATGCTGCTGTTGTTGCTGGTGCTGGTGCGCGTGATACGAGTGCTGGTGGTGGTGCTGATGGTGCCGCGTCCTCGACGTCGCACCTGAACTTGCCCTATACTCTAACCACGCCCTCTCCCGTTCCTTTGCCTCCTCCTGAGCCCGCTCCTCCTTGTTCCTCTCTCCCTCTTCAACCCTTCCCCTTCCCTCGCTGGTACCCTCCACTTCACCCTCCACCTGCCCCACACTTGACGGCGCCGTCGAGTCCACCGACACCGACCTCGAACCCGCGGCTGACCCCGACCCCGACCTCGAACTCGAGCCCGCACCCACACCCGTCAGGTTCGACGCCCTCGAATTCGTCGTCGCCGAGCTTGACGCCGACACCGTGCTGCTCAGCGGGACCGGCGCCGGGTGGTGTACGTGCGGCGGCTTCTTGATCGGGATCGCCCTCGAGCTCGAGCCCGTGCTGGTGCTGGTGCTTGGGCTGGGCGTGCCCATGAACCCCTGCTGTTGCTGTGGTTGCACCGAAGCGCTGAGAGGGGGAAAGGCAAACGGCTTCGTCGACCCTGGCTTAGAGGGCACGTTCGAGTGCGGGTTCGACGCAGACGCGGAGGTCGGTGCAGGCGAAAAGGGCACCGACACCGACGCCGAGGTCGATACGGACGCAGAGGCCGACTTGGGCGAGAAATGGGCCGACGCGAGCGTCTGCGTCAACGTATCGATGTCGAACCCAGATCTAGGACCAAACAGGCGAGATTGTTGCTGCTGAGGGTCACGCTGTTTCTCCCTCTGCCTCTCCTGCTGCTTCTGCGCCATCTGCTCGTACAGCCCAGCGCTGAGCGGTGGTAGCTGTGCCTGCATTTGGCCCTGTGCTTGGCTCTGCGTCTGGCTCTGTAGTCTATCCAGATACACCGCCTGTCCATGTTGCTGCTGTTGGGGGAAACAAAGAGCAGGAAAAATCGACCCTGAGCAAGCGTCCCATTTCGTGCAAGCAAATGTCTCTATCGTACCTGAAGTTGTAGCTGATGCTGCTGTGGGCGTGACCCAAACATCTCATACGGCGACGTTTGCCCTGAGGGAGGCCCAAAATCATACTGATACCCAGGCGGAAGCTTGATCGTGCCCGGGGGTTGCACATGCGAGCGAGAGTGAGAGTGCAGCGAACTGCTGCTACTTCCCGTTGATGCTGGCAGGGAGTGTGCTTGCTGCTGTTGCTGCTGCTGTTGGAGATGGAGCGGTAGGAAGGGCTGGGATTGTGCGTGAAGTTGTGTGAGGGTGTGCTGGGTGTGGAGGAGAGAAGAGGGGGAAGGCGCAGGGGAGAAGGCGGATAGTGAGGAGAGTTGGGGCGGCGGTGGTGGTAGTGACGAGCCGGCTTGCCCTTGCGTGCTTTGCGTGGCGTAAGAATACTTGTCGTAGTGCACTTTCAGCGCCCGGCCGCTATATTCGTACCTATATGCGTACAAGAAAAGCAAAGGTCAGGTAATTAGCACGGCTGAAGACTAAAGAATAAAGGAAGAAAAAAAGATGAGGGGAAAAAGGTGCGATGTTGGGCACAGATCCGATCCCGCAGAATAACCAGAGAAGAAAAAGAAGAGAAAAATGACAATAGGGAGGAGAGACACGAAACGACGACACCCAAATCCTCCAAACACAGACCCACAAAACCCGCCAGCCAGTCGGGATGTCAAAGCCTCAGACCGACCTAGCCAGGAACACCAACGTCAACACATCTTCCGCAACAATACACAATACCAACAGCCCATCCGAGAGCCCAGCCCCTCCAAAAGCAGAGAGGCAGCACTGGTGGCAGCACCAGCGACATCCCAAGGCACACCAACCTGCCGGCTACCGGGCCCAATAGAAATAGAATAGAGATGAGGAGATGGAGATAAAGGAAAAGCGCCCGGCGAGCCGATGACTGTCCTCGATCGTGCGCCTGAGCGTCTATATCATATAATTCAGGCACAGGAAGACCGAAAATGGCATTCAATGAGCTGAATGGGGGTGTATTGGTCCAGTGTCTGGCGCCGAGTTGGGAGAGGGACGTTGGAGCAGGACATCTGCAGAGGAGGGCAATCGCTGGAGGAAAAGACAGCCACAGGGGGCATAGTAATCGCAGAGCAGAGCAGAGTTACTTGGACGGACGTGCACGGCTTTTCACGGACACGATCAGAGGCCAACAGAACAGAAAGGCAGCTGGCCCACTTCCGAGCGCATATATGCTGTGTGCTGAACGACTGGGACTAGAGCGTGTGCGGCGGTGCCATAATGATGAGACCATCGTGAGGAGCAGCAGCATCTACCGCAGCTCATCAAGCGCACTTAGAATTCTGAGCCTGGCCCGCACTGCGGCGCATGTTTCCGTAGGCCCTCATCCACTCCAGCAGGAGAGAAAGCAGGATAGCGAAACGACGACGCCATCCATCCTCCCACCGTGCCGATTCCCACTCCGTCGATTTCTGCCCCGCCCATCCTTCCTTCGTCTCATCCGTGAGGAGAACCAGGACGGTCCCTCCTCCTCCACCCATGACCCACCAGCCATCCGCCAGCCTAATCCCCAGAACGATAAACCGAAAAACACCCAAAGAAAAGAACACCCCCCGCAACCCCCCCTCCCCCCCAAAAAAAATAGGCGTCGGGCTTTGTATATGCGGCTAGATCACGGTCGGGAGGTTCGTATGCCCTCCAAGACCATCACCGCCCTTTTCTCTAGGACCTCCGCGAGCAGCAGAAGCCAGTCCTCTTCCGGTTTCTGCACCAGCCAGTTTTTGAACCAACCCCCCATCGATTTCAACCCGCTCCCAGCCCTTCGACCATAAAAATAAAAATAGCCCTCCACGCAGCCCAGAACACTTCCCACCCGCGAAACCCAACAGCCGACTCCATTCTCGAAAGAAACAACGCAAGGAAAGGCAGAAAGAGGCAAAAAAGGAGAAGAGACAGAAGGAAAAGCGAAAGGCCAAGAAAAATATTATGTGTCGAGACCACTCACCCATTAAACATCCTCACCGCCTTCTCCGCGTCCGCCTCGTTGGCGAAGACGACGGTGCCGTATCCGCGTGAGCGGTTGTCTGGCCCGAGGGCGACGTCGGCTCGTAGCACGGAGCCTGCCTGCCGGAAGAGATCTTTCAGGTCTTGCCATTGGATGTGGAATGGGAGCTGCGGGATTATTTTTTCGGTTAGCATGGTATTTTGAGAAGAGAAGGGGGGTGAGAGGACGTAAAGCGAAATATTTGAAAGTGCACATGTGAAGAGAAGATAAGGGGGGATTTTGGGATTTGGGATCGGTAAGAGAGATGGTAGGAAGATGGGGTAGATGAGGGGGAAAAGGAAATCATAACGAGAGCAAGGACTCACATTTCCGACAAAGAGGTTCCGGCACGGTGTCGAGTCGTGTAGGGTGCTGCTGCCTGAAGCGAGGGCTGAGGCTGACAGTGGGGAGGGGAAGAACGAGGACGTCGTGAAATCAAACTCTTCAGCTGCGGACGCAGAGAGGGCGGAGTACGCGTTGGCACGACCATGTCCATTGCCCGTGCTCGTGCTGGCATACGACGCATACGTCTGGCCCACCATACCACCACCCGCACCGCCCGTCGTCCCATTCCCATTCCCGCTCCCGCTCCCGCTCCCACTGGCCGCCGAACTGGGGCCCGCGCCGAGGTGATGCTGCTGAGGGTGCTGGAGGTG